GCTTCTCCCTCTCCCACTCCCCCTGCTTGTGTTCCTTCTCTTGCTGTGTCTCTCTCTGTCAAATAAAAAAATAAAATCTTAAAAAAAAAAATAAAAATAGCTATTTTCTAAAACTGCACTTCCTAATATGATAGCCATTAGCCACATGTGGCTACTTTAAATTAAATTAAATCAGAGATTCACTTCACAGTAGCCACATTTGAAGGGTTCAGTAGCCACAAGTGGCTACCATATTGGACAGTGCAGATAAAAAAACCAAAACTCTACCCGGCTGATAGGTATTAAAAAAAATAAATAAATAACATCTACAGTTTAAAAATAAAATAAAACATTAAAAAAACTAAAACTCTCCATCACTTTTTGGAGCACAAGTTCTATGAGTCAGTGCTGAACTAGAAAATAAATTTTGATGAATTTCTCACCTACGCTCACATATATATATTCAGAATGGCCAAACACTTAAATAGCAGCTCAAAGGTAATTTTTTTAAGCTGCCATTAGACCACTTCAGTTACCATTTAGGTCTTGTCATTTAATGGCCCGCTGAGTGTGGCAGATGGATCTCTTTCGATAATGGGTCTTTCAGAGGCTCCACCTTCAAAAAGAATTGAATTCCTTGGAAGGTCAACTTGAAAAGCTGCAGAAACAGCTGGAGAAAGCTGAGGTAGCCATAGTGCCAGAAAGGACTCTGAATTTTACATCTTACTTGATCAAACACTTTCTGCTCTGGGAGGGAGACCTTGGTGGTTTTTTGTTTTTTGGTTGTTGTGTATGTTTTGTTTTGTTTTGTTTTTGCTGATCATCCTCTTGCTTACATAGCTCCCCCTGAGAAGATTAAGGCTAAAGACCTCGTGAATCTGCATGAACCGACAGGGCTGGGTGAGGCCTGTGAGTTCTAGTTTGCCAAGCATATCACCATTGCTCTTGCTGTCTCATCTTCAGCTACCTGAATGATGAGCCAAGTGTTGAATATCTGAATCTCTTTCTGTGGACATTTAGGTAGTATGCCTGCCTAGAATCACTAAGGACCCCTGTAGCAGTTTTCATACCAGGACACACAGGAGGGACAACCACCAGCAAAAGGCCTGCCTTGTTTCATATTTGTCCTTAGACAAGATCAAAGTCTGGAAGGCTGCACTGTAACATTCAACTTTTGTTGATACTTTTCCTTCTTTTTGTACCATGGCAAGGCTTCCAGGAGTTCTGAATCTTGGAAGTATATGCAGATGCACTGGTAGAATCTAATTATTGACCTTGTGTATCCAGTTTATTTTGTAAGGTCTTTCTCATGGGATCCATTGTACTCTAAAAAAAGTCCATTGGTTCTCAATTTCTCAAAGTAATGGCAGAGGAATAAAAGTCAATCCTATGTGGAAAATCAACCTCTGAGGTCTCCTAGGCTCTTGAAGATAATGTGCTCGGAACAAAGGAGTAGAAATGTGGGATGGCTCTCTCTAAATGATATCCTTTTTCTGTCTGCTCTTGAGCTCAGTAGTAAAATGATGAATCATTCTCACTAAAGTGGGTATTGCTTGGGGCGCCTGGGTGGCTCAGTTGGTTGGGCGACTGCCTCTGGCTCAGGTCGTGGTCCTGGAGACCTGGGATCGGGTCCCGCATAGGGCTCCCTGTTCAGTGGGGAGTCTGCTTCTCCCTCTGACCCTCCTCCCACCTCATGCTCTCTCTCTCTCTCAAATAAAATAAATAAATAAAGTGGGTATTCCTTGCTTTCCAACTTAATTTTAAAGATCAAATTTTCCTAAAATTTTTTTAATACTTGTCTCCTCCTTTTCTCATTCTCTCTTCCAATACAGCTGACTCTTGAACAACATTGGGGTTGGGGCACCGGTGCCCCACACAGTAAAAAAATCAGCATATAAATTTTGACTCCCCCCAAACTTAAGTACTAATAGCCTACTGTTGACCAGAAATCTTACAGATAATGTAAATAACACATATTTTGTATGTCATATGTTATGTACTGTATTCTTACAATAAAGTAGGCTAGAGAAAATAAAATCATGAGGAAGAAAAAATATATTTGCAGTATTATGCTGTACTTATTGAGAACAAGTCCATGTTTAAATGGACCTGCACAGTTCAAGCTTGTGTTGTTCAGGGTCAACTGTATATGGCTTCCATTGAAGCCTGGGGCTTTAGTTTTTTCTATCTCGTTCTGATGAGAGACTTACTGTAAATTAGTATAGGTCCCATCTTCAATGGTGAAGGTAAACACCATTCTGATTGCTTGTACATCCTTCTGCAGATGCTATATACACAAGCTAATAGATGTACTATGTATCGTCTTTCCCCTCCTTTTTCCCACATGGTAGTATACTCTGTCTTTTTTGTTTAACTATATATCTCAGAGATGATACAATATCCAAGATTAAAAGACTTCCCCATTCTTTTCATGGTTATGAGTATTGCTATTATAGTAGATTTCAACCCAGTTTCCTATTGGTGGACATTTAGGTTGTTTCCAATATTTTGCTTGTATAAACAATGCTGCAATGAATATGGTACTGTCGTTTTACTTGATAAATAGATATACCTGGAAGGCAAATTCTTAGAAGTAGAATGGGTAAATGCATTTAAAATTTTGATATTTTCTAGATAGCTCTCCCTAGATATTTTATCAAATTACATTCTCATTAGCAAAATATTAAGTGTTCCTCACTTTGCCAACACAGTGATATGTAAGTTTTTAAAGTTTCCAATTTTACAGATGAAACATATTTCACTGTTGTTAATGTGCATCTACATTAGGAAAGAAGTAGAACATCTTTTAATATATTTGAATTTCTTTTGATAAACTATTTATTCATTTATTTATTTTTAGAGAGATAGAGAGCAGGGGGAGGGACAGGGGGAGGGAGAGAGAGAATCTCCAGCAGACTCCCCACTGAGTGTGGAGCATGACACAGGGCTTGATCTCACAACCCCGAGATCATGACCTGAGCTGAAATCAAGTCGGATGCTTAACAGACTGAGCCACCCAGGCGTCCCTTTTTTATTTATTTTTATTTGTTTTTTAAAGATTTTATTTATTTATTTGACAGAGACACACACAGCGAGAGAGGGAACACAAGCAGGGGGAGTGGGAGAGGGAGAAGCAGGCTTCCCGCGGAGCAGGGAGCCCGATGTGGGGCTCGATCCCAGGACTCTGGGATCATGACCTGAGCCGAAGGCAGACACTTAACGACTGAGCCACCCAGGCGCCCCTTTTATTTATTTTTAAAAGTAAGCTCTATGCCCAACATGGGACCTGAGATCAGGAGCCGCATACTGTCTTGACTGAGCCAGCCAGGCACCCCTGAACTGTCAGTTTATTGGTATCAGGTCGGTTATGGCTAAGATCAGGCTGCGGTGGCTTACACTCAAGGGACTTATTCTCACATAAATCATCTCTAAAGATGAGTAGTTTGGGCTGGCATGAAGGCCACAAGTGTATCAGGGTCTCAAGCTCCTTCTTTTTTTCTCCTCTACCACATTAAAATGTGGCTTCCCTCTTAAAAGTCATCTTATGGTTCAACAGTTGCTAGAGTACCAGTCATCAAGTCTACATTGCAGCTGGAAAAAGGAAAAGCAAAATGGCTAAAGGGTGTATACCCTTTTAAGAAAACTTACCAGAAGTCTCCTTTAACACTTTAGCTTGTATTTCAACAACTTAGTAACATGGCTGCATCCGAGAAAAACTGGATGCAGTAACTGAGCACATTGCCCAGATATCAGTTAAAAAGGGAGAATTGGAAAATGAATATGGGGAGGCATTTGGCAGTTTCTGTCACAAATCCTTGGTCAATTTTACTTTTGGGCTTTTGTTGTTATTGTGGGAGCTCTTTATATATAAAGGAAATTCTCTTTGTTACAGGAGTTAAATCCCTTTTTCCGAATTGTTTTCTTTTGACTTTGATTATGGTGTTTTGTCATGGAGATACTTTTTCTGTAGTTGAAGGTATCAATGTTTTCTTTTTTATGGCTTCTGATTTTTTTTTTTAAAGATTTTACTTATTTGAGAGAGAGAGAGAATGAGAGAGAGCGAGTACATGAGAGGGGGTAGGGTCAGAGGGATAAGCAGACTTCCTGCCGAGCAGGGAGCCCGATGCGGGACTTGATCCCGGGACTCCAGGATCATGACCTAAGCCGAAGGCAGCCGCTCAACCAACTGAGCCACCCAGGCGCCCCATGGCTTCTGATTTTTGAGTCATATTTAGGAAGGCCTTCTCACTCTGAAATCTGTCATGTTTTTTTCTAGTACTTTTACAAGGATTAAGACCTTGAAATATTCAACTCAAGGTCAAAGCCTTCTGGAACCAAATTTCTTATTTAAGTTGGAAGCAATAGCAGTGTCATCTGGCTCACTGATTACCAGTAGGGATAGTTCTATTGTCTTTGGAGACTTAACAGTATCACTAAATTAGTGTTGCCATATAATAATAGTATTGAATGGTGGCTCAAAGATTAATGTGAATTGCAGGTCCCTTCAACATGATTATTGGATGTCTGGATCATTGCAGTGCAGTAAGAATTTGCCCTGAGTGAGACCAAGGTGGTGTTTCTGAAATGGAAATTGAAACAAGCCAAGCCAGAAAGTTATTAATAAGAAACACAAAATGAATAAAAGAAACATTCATTTGTAAATCAGAGTATTTTCAAACTGTCCCAGTTCATATTGGCTGATTACCACTCCAGTAGCTTCTTATTGTCTCTGATGGTAATTATTCCCAGGAACAAAGTCCCATTAGATATATCCATATATACCAGAGCATATCCCATTGTAGTCTGCAGTTCACAGGAGTGAAGGGCAAGGCCTTGCTAAGCCTGGACATTGGCTAATCTCTTTTCTAAATATCCTCTCCATTACTTTGGTAGCTTGGCAAATTCTTTCTCTTGGAAAGGAATAATTTCAATAGGATGCTACCTCGATAAGGACATAGCTTATCAGGTTAAAAAAGGAAAAAAGAAAAATTTTAAGAATTAATGCAAGGGACACATAACGATTGAACATCAAATTTTAATCTTGAACCTTTTCTCCAGTCTTCAAATTATTAACACGAAAAGGAATGATAAATTGCAATTTTATCATTGCCATATCGCTGTGTAACAAGCCCTTGTTACAAAATCTCCATCTACTGTCTCCAAAAAACCAATAGAAAACCCATACATTATATTATCTAAGTGATCTATTAACAGATGAAATTTTAACCAACTTCATAGCAGGAAACTATTAACAGAGGTACTTCAATCACATAGCTTGAAATATGGAGAAAAGACAGGTAAAAAATTATCTTAAGCTGTAGTAGTCTTTTTACTTTTTAAAATTTTTATAAAATACACTAATTTCCCAAAATAAAGAATATTATGACACATTGGTGTCAACTTACACAGATGAAAGCTGATGTCAGCTTTTTTTCTAACTAAAGTTCATTTCACCAAACCTTTATATATTACATGAATATCCAAGTATTTTTTAAAAATTCAACACACAGGAACATAATGTACAGTGTTTTATTAAAAAAAAAAGGTTAATTTAGGAATGATTTCATTTTTAACCACATAATATCTTTTTAAGACCATGAAACCTCTTGCTATTGCAAGAAGACTTTTCAGTTCACGTTTCTATTTCCCAGTTGTAATTCTTAGAGTAAAAAATGAAAAAGTTTTTTTTTTTGTTTTTTTGTTTTTTGTTTTTTACAAGAAAACTGTAGCAACAATTTCATTCACTACCAGGCTGTCTTCCCTCCTTTTGCTTTTAGGACTACCCAGACCCACAACTGCGTGGCACCGGAATGTAATGGGGAAAAGAGGTCAATGACATCAAAGAATGGATGTAAAAAGATGGGCACAGCTGGATCCTGCTGCAGTTGTAAGGTGTGGGCACTTTCACTGGTGCAAGGCCTCCCAGAGCCGCAAGGGAACTGTCACAGGAGCAGTCTCCTGGCTCATCCTTTATATCAGTCAGCTGGGAGGACAGAAAGGAACATTTTCACTAATGACTTGTATAACGGCTGATGGATGCCTTAGCCAGGGAGGGAGGGAGTACACCCAGAGACCTTGGTCAGGAGCGAAAAGAACGTTGTTTATTTTACACCTCCTGCACTGGTCACTTCTGAGCCCAAACTAACCTCAACAGGAAATTGCAATGAAATATACACAACATGCACAGTCTATATTACTGTGGGAATCCAGTAACACATGCAAGATGGTGGGAAAAGAATCACAATGGATGAATGTAAACTTTTCACAGTGTTTCTTATAGCCTTTGACTTAAGCACGAGGGCATCACTTACCACCACAATCGCACAAACGTTTTATTGTGTCCTGGGCATGCAGATCACTTGGCGTAAAAATGGCAATTACATTTCATAGCCATTCTCAGACAGGAGTACAACTTCAATTTTCCCAATTTCCAACCAATGAATTGAGCTCCTTCTGTTATAAAACTAAATATATTTCTGAATACATTTTTGTTCAAGGGTTGTGCTTTATTTTTTCTTACCACTTCACTGACTTCATTCTAGGGAAATTAAAAACCCACAAAATTATATTGAGGACTAGGTCTTAAGGGTGATTCCTGACCAAACCAGAAAGACAGGGAGCCGCTAACTTCTTTTCTCTCAAGTTTCTGTCTCCCTACCCCAGGCCTTTATTGATTCTGATTCAGTTACATGTTTTGGTTTCCCAAAGAGGAAAACCAAATTAGAGAACTGGCATTTCTGGCTTAAAGAAGCAAAAAAGTAACACAGGTTGGGGGGGGAGGGGCTCATTCTATGTCAAAAAGAAATCTCTTGCTCTCAACAGGAGATAATCCAGCTTCTCCTTAGCTATCATTTCATAAATTAATAATTTCTTAAAATCAAAATCCAAAGAATTTATCTATTACAAGAAAAATTCAAGTTTAAAAAAGCAAATAAATTAGTTAAGCCTTGTAAACAATTGTCCATTTTAGCTATATATCTTTTTAAAAAAGGTTTTTCTGTATAGTAAATCAGACAGTACAAGGCACACCTTACACATCAGAATCCAGAGTGACAGGACCCACATACATAAACACACACACACACACACACGCCTTCTTCACGCTGTTGGCTGGCCTAACTGTGCTGGGGGCACTGGGGTTGCACACCAATCCTTTGCTCATCTCCTGACCATCTGGAAGTCCACAAATGTGCTCTTTCCATTAAATTGCTTTGTGCTATTTTGTTGTGTGATGTGACTTTCAGCCTTCTCAATGTTAGTGTCCTCAGATGTTTTCCACAAAGCTTCCTGGGAAAAGGCCAGTTTTCCCATTACGTTGTAATGTGCCTTTGAACCAGCCATCTTCTCGCTTTTTATGAACAAACACAATATCTCCTTCTTTCAGTTCAAGTTCTGCCTCACTCTGAGGAGGATAGGAAACTACCACCCTGTGCCTAGAAAAAAAGAGATATATTTTAGTTAAAGTCACTCAAAGTAGTAAAAAAAAAAAAACCAAAACAATGGTGTACTACTGGTCTAAAACAGCTTTAAACATAAACAGTATAAGAAGTAACATGTTTGTTTCTAACATTCGTAAAACAACTGAGACTAGGTTTTCTGTTTTGTAGAGACTAGGTTTTAATAGAGTTTGGATGTTTAACAGCTCGCTATCGATGACCTAGACTGGTTTGAATGACCTTTACAGGGCAGGGAAAGCTATTCCTGTGCCCTCCCATAGCGAAAATTTTATTCCATTTCCTAGCAGGAAATGCCCTGTCCTTCTATCTTCTCCAAGAAGAAAGGAGTGAATTGATTTGATTGGTGAGTAAGAGAAGCAGTTGAATAGGTGGGTTCAGTCCTCTCTGAACTACCTGCCTCCAGGCTGAGTGGGTTCTGCTCTGCCTCTGCTTCCACACTGGAAGCATGGAATGGTCAGGGGTCAGGCCTGCCTTCTAGAAGTGGGTCTGGAAGTCTGTCTGTCTGTGTCCCTTACATTGGGGCTTGACATGGATGAGGCAGCAATTCTAAGGAAGTTCATCTGCCTTATAGACCCAAATTCTCCCTCGGGCAGGCTGTCCTAAGGTCTAGACAGGGAGGGGAGGACCATAGCCACAAATTCAATCTAACACCACCAGTAATGAGGTTGACATTCTGATCTCCATTAGTCTGATAACTGTGTCTCTTTCTCTATTGGTTTTCAACTCTGATATTAGTGGGAAAAGGTTTAATTATCACTTAAAACCCCCAGAAGCCTTGTTGGTTTAATACTATCTATCTCCCCTCTTCCTTTCTCCTTAGTCTCCTTCTGCAAAATTATGATTAACAGCCATGGAAGACAGATTGAGGTTTTGTGCCCCATATCCTTTTATCTTTCCATTTTTCCAGCACTACTGCTCTCCTTTACTTCTCTCTTGCTTTTCCTAATCAAAGGGGGGAAAAGGTGGTGTATGGTAGGCAACCTCAAAGATGGCCCCAGTGACTGTTGCCTCCTGGTATTCATACTCTTGTGTGATCTCCTCCCACAATGCACAGGGATGATATGTGTGACCAATAAAATACTGTGAAAGTAACTGTGTGATTTCTGAGGCTAGATCATAAAAGGCATTGTGGCTTCTACATTAGTTTCTCTTGGATCATGCACTCTGGGGAAAATTAGCTGTAATGTTGTGAAAAAACTACATCCCTATGGAGAGGATCACATGGTAGGTAATAGGTCTCTTTTCTTTCTTTTCTTTCTTTTCTTCCTTCCTTCCTTCCTCCCTCCCTCCCTCTCTCTCTTCCTTTGATTTTATTTATTAGACAGAGATGGAGGGGCAGAGGGAGAGGGAGACAGAATCTGAAGCAAACTCCCCGCTGAGCATGGATCCACAACTGTGAATTCACGACCTGAGCCAAAACCAAGAGTTGGATGCTCAGCTGACTGAGCCACCCAGGAGCCCCTAACTGAGGTCTCTTTCTAAAAGCCAACTAACTAGCCAATAGTGATGTGAAGGAGTCACTTGAAAAAGAGTCCCCCAGCCCTGGTCAAGCATTTAGATGACTACAGCTGAGGCTGATATCTAGATGGACTGCAACCTCAGGAAATAGCCCAAGCTGGAACCATCCAGATAAGCCACTCCCAAGTTCCCAACCCACAGAGGCTGTGGGGTAACAAATGTTTATTTTTGTTTTAAGCCACTTAATTTTAGGGGTAATTTGTCACATGGCAACAGTTAATTAGAAAATGTGAACATACATCTTTCTCCATTTGCTGTTATGCACTATTCAGTCATAAAGGTGATTTTGAGTTTCTATTTTTGTTTGGTTCTTAAAGTCAGAAAATAAGTTTACAGCCTCACAGGACCCACTCTTGACTGTAAGTAAAGAATAATATGGCTTAAATAATGATAGTCATAACAAATTCTATAGAACTGCCCCTAAACTATGAAACCCATTAGAGCCCAGTCCTTTCAGAAGATTGCTAGCTTCACCAATCTCCATCTCATAAAAACCTGAACCGATTCTCATTAAGAAGGATCACAGCAAGAGCCCCAGACTATTACTCTAAAAAAAAAAAAAGAAAAAGAAAAAGCATCTCTGCAAAAGTCAAGCGACTGCCCAAACCGTTCCTGAGCTACTTTGGGCACATGAACCAAATTATCCTCCAAGGTCTGAAGCAAAGGTATAGCATGGAGGTTGACTTATTTCTAAGAAAGTTTCAGTTAATTCAAACATGGATTAACATGTTGAACCCACAAGGTTCAGGGTTCCAATCAAGCATGAACTGAGGGAGGAGGCATGGCACTCTGCGCAAAGGCACTGTGTGTGAAGCTCTAGGCTAGGGGTTGCTTTAGCCTTAAAGGTCATTTGGAGTAGCTTAACTTTGGGCTAATTATCTCTGCTCTCTCAGTCTCAGCTTCCTTATCTGTTGAAAGAGATTGCTGTAACTTAAACAGGTACTGTCATGTAATGGAGTAAGATTGTAAGTGTGATGCTTTTAGCACGCTGTCTGTTACAGAGTTTATACTCCCAAATTCTAGCTCCCACTGGGATCATATGGCTTAGGCAAAAGCAGGCAGGGGTCTGGTGCTTCGAGGGGGTGAAGGATGGGCCAGGAAGTCACTGGCCATCTCTACCCAGGAAACAGACTCAGGCCACAGCCTAAAGAACTGCCTGGTAATGAGACTTGACACTTGAGAATGATAAAGTTAGGTTTCGGAATTCCCTCTCTGCTATCTTTAAAAGCGGGACAAATAATTTCATCATAGACTTATCTGAAGGAAGGGATCCAGATGAAAATATTTCTCAAGTATGATGCCAACATGCTAAAAATTCATGTAAAAAGCAATGTAACAAGTTGCCATTTGGGGCAAGTTAAAATTTGAGCAAAGCTTTGTAAGTCTGGAAAGAAGCATACAAGTGACTCAAATTGCATTCAGAGTAGATCTCTCATGAAATGTATTCCCCATCGGTTCTCTGTGAGCTGCCTTAAAGGTAAAATGGAACAAAAATAGTTCTCGAAAAACTTGAAGTGAATTAGATTAATATTTGCATTTTATAAAATGCACTAAACCAATTTTGTCAAAATTTTTTGAACTAGAACTGCTGCTGGGCTAAGAACATAATCTTCCTGCCAAGTTCCCAGTGGGAGCAAATTTTCATTGCTAAGTTATAAACCTCTGGGGGGGTGGAACGAGAAACCATGTGCATAATGGAAACTGTGACACAGTCCTGATTGTATGAAGACTACCAGGTGCAGCGGTAACAGACTCCACTTAGAAATCTTCCAGCTCTGATCCTGGCCTCGAGCCTTGTGCGGTAGTTTGCACACAGATTTCTAACATAGACTCTTAAGGCCAAATTCTGGGCACAACTGGCCAACTATCTCAGGCATGGAAAGTAGAATGTTTACAGACCAACAGACAGATGTAAGGCACAGCTGCAGAGGCCCTTCACATCTGTTCCTCCACCCTCTGCCCTACTTGGATTATGCTTGTCTTTATTTGAGTAGGGCTTTGGGGAAGTTCTGAACCTCAGGAGTTGAAGACCCCTCTCCCATAACCTCCCATGGGACCTGCTAATCCCACTTTCAAAATCTGTACCCATCTACTCCTCTTCATTGTCACTGCCACCATCCTGGTGGACAAACTCATGTGAACCTTCCACCTGGTCAAATAATGTACCTGTCCTCCCTGCCTCCATCTCTTCTGCCCCTATTCCATGTCTACACAGAACTGACAGACTCTTAACTGGCAACTGTACTTGTTTTTTTTTTTAAGATTTTATTTATTTACTTGAGAGGGAGAGCGAGTGAACGAGAGACAAAGAGTAGGAGCAGGGAGCCAGATGTGGGGCTCGATCCCAGGACTCCAGGATCATGACCTGAGCCAAAGGCAGACGCTTAACCGACTGAGCCACCCAGGTGCCCCACAACTCTACTTGTAGTTATCTAATGCTCAAAAATCACTACTGGCTTCCAACGCCTGTGAATAAGGTTAATCCTCAGCCTGGTATGTAAAGCCCTCAATGATCTGACCTCCATCTCTCTCTCTATATCTACAATGATCCCCATGAAGGTACCAAACACGCCTCTAAACCTGAATGTGCCCACCATATATGGCTTTTACGTCTCCACTCCTTGGCTCATGTGGTTCCTTCCATTGGGAACTCCCTGTGATGACACCTCTGCCCATCCACACCTGATCAGCCTCCCACAGCCTGGCTCCAATTTGCCCCTGCAAAATCTTCTCTAGCCCCATGGCTGGAAGTAATTTCATGCTTGCTCAGATCCCAGAGGCCTGATGCGGGGCTCGATCCCAGGACCGTGGGATCGTGACCTGAGCCGAAGGCAGACGCTTAACGACTGAGCCACCCAGGTGGCCTGGGAGAGAAAGAATCTTAAGCAGACTCCATGCTCAGTGTGGAGCCCAATGCGGGGCTCGATCTCATGACCCAGAGATCGTTACCTCAGCCGAAATCAAGATTCAGACACTTAACCAACTGAACCACACAGGTGACCCTGTGATAATTCTTAATAAGCATGTTGAATGACAAAAGGCACAATGTATAGTAAAACTTTTTTTTTTAAAGGTGCAAAGCTCCCTAAAAAGGACTGTAATTTGACAAACACTAAAACATGGAAGGACCTTGAGAATATTATGCTAAGTGAAATAAGCCACACACAATAGGACAAATATGTATGAGGTATACGGCATGGCTCACAGTCTTGGCCCTGAATGGGCTTCTGCCTCTTGCTGGCTTTGTGACCCTCAGTTTTTGTGACAGTTACCAAGGTGGAATTCAAGAAACAGACGTTTGCTATACAAAGAAGCTCTACTGATACCCCATTGCCAATCTTCCTGGCTTGGGCTATGATGTTCAGTCTTCCACCTAAATGAGCACTTGTAATCTTTTATTTGTATGAATTTTCTATTTCCTTTATTTTTCTGGCCTCTCTTGCAGTCTCTGTAATTCGTACATTTTTGTTGTTATTTCTAATCTCTCCTGGTACAGCCTAAATTGGACCCCTTGTGGCTCTGGGAGGCATTCTGCCCATCACCCTGGTCTGGGTAAGTAACCTGCACTGCTTTCTGCCAGTTGCTACAGCAATCTAATATCCAATTAAGTATTTCACTGGCAAAACCATACTAGCTCGCTTTGTAGCTTTGCTTGAAGTCCAAGTAAATTATATCCATTGCTTCACCCAGTGGGTTCATTGTCACTAACTCAAATTAATCATGCTGGTTAAACCCGACTGACTTTCTGTAAATCTATCTCTATCCAATTTGTGTGTTTCCAAGTGTTCTAGTTTAATCCCTGATCAAAGATCATAGGTTCTTTTCCAATTTAGGAGATGGGTTTATAGGTATGTGGTTATCAGTTTAATTCCTAAGCTTCAAAATACAGAGATGATGTGCGGTGTCTCCTTAAGCCCTTATCTATTCTTTTTCAGAAGAGAAAAAAAAAAGAAAAGCCTGTCACATATACTTTCTTTTATTGCCATCCCTTCTGAAATATTTTGTTTCTATTTTCTCTTCACTATATCCTAATTATTTTTTCTCCATTACCTAAAATAGAGCCTTAGATACCTGTTCTATTATTTCTGCTGTCATCAGTTATACATCTTCTGCCTCCAGGATAGAGCATTGCTTGCTTGTTTTCCTCAGCCTCTGTGACAAAAAAGGATCCTTTTGTTGCTCAGAGAATTGTCTCCGCTGACACCAAGACCTGTCAACACACCTCAAGGTTCATCCTTTCTTACTGTGAGATTGCTTAAGTCTTTATGTCACGTGAATGCTTCTTTCCATTGAAGGCACTGGCTGCCCTACTCACATTCTTTTACTTTAGATTTATGGGACAGAGTCATGGTTTGAGGGGAAATTTTATGCTTGGTCTCATTATAATCTTTGGGGGAATCCTATCTCATACTGTACCAACAGTATATAATGAGAACTACCTCTACGAAATTCTATCAGTAAAAATTCTACCAGAAGAATCCAAGGCTTCTGCACTCTGCCAGGGCAGGAGCTGTTGATATTTACATTGCGAATCAAGGAATCTAAGATCCTGAAATACTTTCTGAATCATACTGATGTGAAAGTTATTCTTCCCTTCATTTTTAGCAATAAGTACTTTTTATTGTGTTAAAAATTTTGAAATATCAAAACAGATAATCCCTAAATGATATACTTGGTAGCTTTCTACTAACCAAAAAATTTCATTCCCAGTGGATCATAAGTTGTTTTCCTATAATACTTGTTTCCACACATTTCCCCTATTGTTTTTATAGTCAGGCAGACCTAAGAATACAAGTTAAATAAATACTATCACCATCATTGTATGAAGGCAAAGGGACTGTGAAAGGTTGGTCAGGTTGGCTATTATATTTAACCGACTGAGCCACCCGGGCGTCCCTAAGTTGGCTATTATATTTAATATTCCACTGAACATATGGATTATAAAAATACAAACTTGAGCAGAAATCTTCTCCAGACCCCCTTTCCACTTGTAAAAACTGAAATGGTTATTTGAAAAACCTGCCAGAACATTCCAGAGTGCCCGTGCCCATCTGTTCCGTCATTAAATTCTCCATGTTCCCTATCTGATATGCATCCCCCTGCTCCCTGAACCACCATCACCTGTCTGCATTAGCGATTTCTCCTTTTCAGATGCATTGAACAGCAGGAGCCTGCTGTTAGAAATGAGCTCCTCTAAGAGGAAAGGGCCAGAATGCAGAAGCCACAGAGACTGAGGACATCTGGCAACTGAAAAGGAATGCATAATGGGGGAGGGAGGCAGCAGTGCCAGAGCCAGTGCCTAGGGAGAGGCTGGGCAAAATGAACTTTCAGAACAGTCACATAAACACCACAAATGACAGGGAAAAGAGGAGAGAGACTCAGGGCACGAAGGAAAAACTGCAGATCAATGCCTGGGGGTGGGAAGGAAAGAAGGAGCCTTTGTGACCAAAAGAAAGTAAACAAGTCCCTGGACTAACTCCAGGGACAGAAGGCCCTATCCCTGGAAAGCGGAGTAATACTGCAGGAAAAAAGGTTGACTCTCAGAATAAAGGATTAAGTGGATGCAGGACGAAATTTCAAAGCTTTATGAGGAGCACAGTAGATGAGGGGAAGGAAAGAATGATTTTATTTGTGGAGGAGGAACACTTTTTAAGGTAATGTCTCATTTCAAAACTGGTTCCATAAGGATTAGAACTACAAAAAATTATTTCACCAAACTATGAAAATACATAATAAACTGTGTACTTTGTACTTAGTGCATGTAGGTTGTTTGAAGTTTATTCTTTTCCAGTTTATTTTTTGGTAACAAGGTATGCCCCCCCAATTATATGAATGAAGACCTCAAATTTTGGTGGGCACAAATGTTCATCTGAAATACAGACTTGAGGTTAATTTAAGTCTTTTTAAAGTATAACATTTTATAGTCAGACTTCAAATCAGTAACTGAAAATGCTACCCAAAATGCCATAACTCCACAAATTAAAAATTTGCTTTATTTATAAAATGCAGGTAGAAAGGGAATAAAGCTTACAGAAACAATAAAACAGATGGCACTTCTAAAAATAATGTTTATCTATTTATGCATTATGTATAAAGTGTCCGCTATTTTTAGTGTACTTCACGATGTTTTCCTGGCCCACCAACAGTGCTTTTTAAATTCAGGTGATCCTAGCAGGTATCTGTCTTACTACATAGAGTTTTTCCCAGTGTAACTCCTAGAACCCCACTGGTTGTATCAAACAGATGTCCCATCTGTAATCATTACTCAAGGCCAGAGTCACTAAAACAGGGCTCCTAGTTCCAAGCGGAGCCGAACCAAGTCACTGTGCCAGGAGGGGAGTCAGGTCTCTGAGAACCGAGCCACACTCTCTAACTCAGGAAGAATAAAGAGAATTCTCTCAGTTGGCAGAATCTCCTGGACAACTAGCCGGTAATGATGTCAACGTTTAATAAAAAACGCAAAGGATAAACCGAGGGAGCAGCTGCGGGCAATGGAAGAGCAGCAAGACGAAGGAAGATTGAACCAAGTTCCAGGGATTAACACGTTTCATCTGGATACAATTCTGGAGCGGTTGTCTGGAGAAAACGAACACAAAGAGGGCTGGAGGCCTAACCCATGGAAGAAACACAGCAAATGGTAAAAGAAAGCCAGAGCTCGATGGTTACTACAAATTCAGTTAAAAACATTTTGGGGGTTGTGGAAAAGTATCCCGATGTCAGGACAAATACTCCAGCATAAAGCCTGCTAGGCACTTCTTCGTTTTCTCCGGGAACAAGAGTGAACTCACCTCTCACAAACCACAGGCCTAGACTCACTCATGACAGGGCCCAGGGAGGAACATGGCTGTCGAGGCGGCGGAGCGACGGGAACGGCGGAGTCCTGAGAGCCGGTCTTCCGATGAAGAGCGTCCGGGGCCACAGCGGCTGCCTGCTCCCCGTCTGTGGGGCAGGAGCCGACCCTGCCGTGGGCGCCCCCCAGCGGCGGCTCCGGACCCACTGCTCCCTGCAGAGGCAGCTCGCCGCCACCAAGCTCCACTTCCAGGGTGGGTGAGGCTGGAGGAGAGGCTCGGGGCTTACGTTTGGTGGAGGCGCCAGAAAGCAACTTCAACAAACCCTTTTTTTCTTTCTAGAAAAAAAAAAAGGTACATTAGTTGGAGACGGACGGTACTGTTATTGTAATCGCGCTAGGGTGTTACAGTTTTGATTTCTGTTGTTTTTTTTTTTTTTAAAGATTTTTAAGTACCTCTACACCCAACATAGGGCTGTAATTCACAACCCCGAGATCAATGGTCGCATGCTCTACCCACTGAGGCAGCCAGGCGCCCCTGGTTTGATCTTTTACAATTTATTTCTGCGGATATTTGGTTATTTGTGATCTAGCTCCCAAATCCTGTATGATGTTAACCCAACCTTTTGTCTCGCTTTCTTCTCCCTTTCTGCCTGCCTGTTTTTGCTTGTTTTGGACACTCCAATGTTCATCACTATCTTCTGCTGAGGTAGAACAGACAGATAAAAAAGAAGTAAAACAAAAACTCACCAAGTCACATACCAGGCTTGGTGAAGGCATTTTATGACAAAATGGAAATTTCTGATTATGGACTTAATTTCTTGAAATTATGACTATCTTACCTCTAATTCTTACATGCTGAATTAAACATTATAGCATTTTACTCTCCACAGACTTGATTCTATTTTTTTAGCTTTTTTATATATATTCATTTGTCAGAGAGATTGCGAGCGAGAATGCACAAGCAGTGGGAGCGGCAGGCAGAGGCAGAAGCAGGCTCCCCGCTGAGCAGAGAGCCCGAAGTGGGGCTCGATCCCAGAACCCTGGGATCATGACCTGAGCCGAAGGCAGACGCTTAACTGACTGGGCCACCCAGACTTGATTCTTACCACTTACAGGTAGTGATGTCTTGATCAGGGTTAAGACTAAAACAGTTCCCACATGTCACCACCTTGAGGAAATTTAGTAAGCCAATAATGACAGGAGTCAAACCATTTCTATTGTGCAACAATCTCCACAAGCCAAAACTCCACAAGATTTTATATAAAGCTTCAGTATAATCAAAAACATTTTTATGTCGTGTTGCAGGCAAATGTAGAAAAGAATTTTTTTTTCCAGCAATCCTACTCCACAAAAACCATCTCTTGAAACTTTGTCTGTTTTGACGGTTTCATTCTTTGCTCTGCTAGGAAAACCAGATCTAGAGCTAACTTTTCTTCATTTCCAAAACCTGTGTCTATGTTCTTTCTGATGATCAAGCATAGAAAATAATCATTTTACATCATTTTACTAAGATGTCAATGACATCATAAAGTCATCTGAATGGAAACATTGCTTGAAAATTAAACATTTCATAGAGAAATAATTCTTTAGAAAACTCTATAGACAAACTCAAACTAGAATCATTAAGGTCCACTAAAAGGGAAATAGAATTATGAGGGGCACACCCAAAGACGGAACACTGAGGAATTTTTCTTGAGAATATGAGTTAGTTCATACTCAGTAAAAATCCCTTGGGGAGAACGGTCTGAATCCATAATAACACAGTTCCATTAGAGACAGAATGGCAGAAAAAAGAAGAGACAAAAGTAATGATTTAACCAGATGATGAAAAAGCATCCCAGGAAACTGCAGGCCCCATTTACCAAATACTGTTCAGAGTACGAACTAAGCCATGGGTTAGAAACAGAGGACAGGGAAGGATGGTGGGGAGCACTGAACTCATTTCTGTACAGCTCAACTCAGGCTGCAGATGAGCAGAACCAATCAATTGATCCCCACCCCCTTCTCCCCATCCTAGCCTGAGGAAGATTCTTCTGCATTTTTCTTCAGGGCCTGGCCTTAATTCACCTTTCAGGCTTTTCCTTCATTCCTTTAACTTCTCATTTTCCAAAGGGCTATTAATACATTCCACTAAAGGACCCTGCACACTTGGACTACCTGCTTGAGTGCCTGTATCTCATCCACCCAGTGCCTAGTGCAGAGGTGCACCTACTGAGCTGAGAGGCCAAGACTGAAAGAGGAGACAGGTGGGAGGAAGGGAAAGACTGAGCTAGCCCCAGAGCTAAGGGACTAAGGACATTTTGCAATTCCTAAATCCCGTGGAGATAAAGATTTCCCTTTATACAGTGGCCAAAGAAGTGGGCTGACCAAATGCCTGCCAAAGCTGCTGCCACACTTCTTTAAGGGAGCCTGAGGTCTGGAGGGCCGACAAATGAGCTGAGAAAGAATAACGTCTACACTTCTAAGGGGGCGGGGGCAGTCGGCCACAACTTCCAGCTATTCCTGCTATGATGTAAGAAAGCACACTCTAATCCCTGGACCCGGACAGATCCACTGAGAACATCAAGTCCAGTGATAAACTACAATCTGAGCAAGACACGGCTACAGATGTTTCTTAAAAGCTCAGTTCTGGGCACTCAGAAAAATTCAGTTAACTGAATGGAGCTCAGGGAACAGCCTCTAAAGTGATTAAGAAGAAGGATGACTTGGTTCATCTAAAATGATTAAGCACATTAAATACAGCTTGCTTTAATGACTTCTAAGGGATGTGTTATCATCATCAGCTGATGCCGACTACCCACGGAGCAGAAGGCAGAAGATTAGGTGTTGTGGCAGGGTGTGGGGGTACGGGGTGGGGGTGCTAATATGGAAAAGATGCTGCCCTAGTTCCACCGAACTGTGCTTTTGATATCATATTCTGATGTTTTCTACATTAGCAGAACAGTGTGCCCCTGGAGAGATAATTTTGCAAACACAGACACTTATCATCTAAGGGCACCTTTGTTTTTTTCAAAATCCAACAGCAGAAATGAAAACTATAGGTGAATTAATAAAGACTACACTTCTGCAAAGCAATTTTTTAAATGTAGTGTTAGCATGCATGAAAAAGGGACATTATCTTTTAACATGAACCTTAACAATTCTCCTGTGGGTTTTCCAAGAAATTATTCCTTGATGGAATAATGTTTTTATACTCATAATTTTCTCTTCAGAAGATCTGATGATTTATTTATTTTATTTTATTCTTTTAAAGATTTTATTTATTTATTCATGAGAGACAGAGAGAGAGAGGCAGAGGGAGAAGCAGGCTCCCAAGGAGCAGGGAGCCCAATGCGGGACTCAATCCCAGGACGCTGGGATCATGACCTGAGCCGAAGGCAGACGCTTAACCATCTGAGCCACCCAGGCGCCCAGATCTGATGATTTAAAACCACAACTCATACGAAAAAGAACTATTTGGGCCAGAAAATAATTACCAGATGATGAGAGAAAGTAATTTTTATATATAAAAATAATTTCTGAGCATCACCTAAATAACTTTCTATTAGTCATATCACAGAGGATGAATATAATATGGGAGACCTCAAGTTCTCCTTCCCAAGCAAAAATAAATTCCATTTGAGGAACTCATAAAGTTAACCACATTCTACCCACTGAGTCTTCTTTATTCCTCTCCTTGCCCTCAGATGTACAAAGAAAGTAGCAAGAGATAAATAGTCTTCTGGGCCATTGTCATCAAAAATCTACAGTCATATTCCCAAAAATCAGTCACTATAAGGGATCTCAAAAGCTTAATTCATATGATTGTCTAATAATAATCACTCATTCCTTTAACAAATATTTACTGAGTGTTGAATATGAACCAATAATGTGCTAGGCTCTGGGAATACAATAGTGAACAAGACAACAAGGAGTTCACATTCTCTAGCAGAGACATTAACACTGCTGTAGAACAGGCGCTCTGCAGAAAAATAAAGCAGGGTAAGGGGAGAGTGATTGATCGGGGGTGTTATCTGAGATGGGAGGCTCAGAAAAGGCCTTTTTAAAGAAGTGCAGAGAGAGAGGGAAAGGCCATGTGAAATTCTAGAGATGATTAAACACCACTAGGTTCAAGAATCTTGTTAAATGCTTTTATAAGGATTTCCACATTTATTCCTAACACCCAGCTGATGTGACAGGAACCAGCATTATTCTCATTGCCCATACCTCTCTAAGGCTGCCTAAAATCACAATGCTAGTAAGGGGTGGAAGTGGGACTTGAACCTAGCCTTTGCTCTTCTGAGAGTTCAGCACAGGCAACATCTCTAGAAGCACATCTACTCGATGGAGTGATAAGAGCAGATATGTTTGCCTGAGGGCTGCACATCATAAGGGTCACTCTGTATGGAACTGTGTGCACATCTGCACTGTCCAGACCCGGATCCCAGCTGTTGGCAGGGACAGGAATGGGACTCTGATCACTTAACATGGAATGAAGTGGTGAAGCTCACAGACAACTTGTTTTTGACAGTGAAATAAGAACTGGGAGGAAGGAAAATCATATTAGCAAAGAAAGTGATCAGCAGGAACTCTGGGACAAGTGTTCAGAACAGAAGAAAACAGGTATTGACTTTTTAAAAATTTTATTTTTAAGTAATCTCCACACCAACTTACAACCCCAAGATCAACAGTCGTATGCTCTACTGACTGAACCAACCAGGCACCCTGAAAATGGGTATTTAAAAACTAGATGAACCCTCTGCTTAAGAAAACCAAGAATTAAGAGCAAAGGTCCTCAAACAGCAGACTGTTTGAAGAAGACCTATGGCTACTTCAGGGAGGGAGTCACTAGGACTTTGGGGGTGGGACATTTGAGGCACTAAATGTTGATCTTTTGTGGGCCACTTTTAGAAATGTTATCTTTTAGGAAAAAATCTAGAATATGGCAGAGGCATGAGAACCAACACCTACTGCTGATTGATATGGGAATAAATGACAATGTCAGAGAAGACTTACACCATGAAGGTAGGGGAAGAAAATGGAAGCACATGAAGTAAAGTGGGGCCTCAGAGATGGTTTCTTTTCTTTCTCTGTGTGAGGGTTAAGCTGTTAAATTAATTAAACCATTAGAGATTCAATTAGAGGCTATTAGGACTGAGGTGATTTTAATGTCCTAGCAGCCTCTGATAGCAAACCAAAACCTAAATCTGTAAACACCTCCAAGTTAAGAAATCAAAACCTAAGGATAAGCAATCACAAACAGCCAACTGGGCTTTCCCAAATAAGGCAACCACTTAAACTATAGCCAATCAAATAACCTCCCTGCTCTGCTTTGATGTGTCCTCTACATAATTCTTACCCCTGGCTCCTGTTGGTAGAGCGCTCCTAAGCACTTCCAGTTTGGCACTGCCTGATTTGAATACGTTTTTCCTCAAATAAACTCTTAGAATTTTTAGTATGTATCAGTTTGTCTTCTAATAAAACTTAGAAAATATAAGAACAGTCAATTACATAATTGGTGCTGGAAAAAAAGATTTTATTTTCTGGATAAAAGCATAACATACCAAAATAATATTTACTGTATTTTGGTATATGAGGGGGAAAAGTAGATATACACCATAGTATTAATGGCTGTCTTTGAAATCTTGGATCATATTTAGGTTTTCTATTTGGATATTTAGATTTTTCTCTCACTTCTAAATAAATGTATTTAAAATTTTTTTATAATAAGAAAACACAATAAAACACACACACACACACATAGGAGTATCTCATAAGGACTGGGAAACTCATCTGCCTGGAGACTAGCTGATCAAATAATGAAACCTTTAAACTGAACATGCAGTTAGAAAAATGTCCAGATAAAGCTGTTAAACTGATAACTGTAGAAGATGCGAGGGATCCCATAGAAAGAAGAATAACAATGGCAGAAAGGCCCAGGATTTCAAACAAGAAATAACTGAGATAATGTTTGGAAATATATTGCAGAGTTTCAGATACTTATTTATCAAACCACAGAACGCAGTTACCAGACAAAATTAGCTACAGGGACAAAAACTGTTTTGTTTTTGTTTTTTTTTTAAGTCAAGGACAAAAACACATTTGAGATAAGACTTCCAAATAAAATATTGTTCAAAAGGAATAGCTTAGTTAGACGAGGAGCTGTAATAGTCCTATGTGCACATCAAAAAGTTACATGTTTCTATGGAACACCAGTGGTAGCTCACTACGGACATTTATGTATAGAGAAAAGGACAGGGCAATCGACAAGCTATCATTTAGAGGACGCACCACACACTAAAGAATTTAAGTAAATGGATGATGCTGATCACAAAATAATGAAAGCAGATAGAGATAACAAGGAGACTGTCAAATACCTAGATATCTGCTGGAAGTCTCAACTAAAACTAGGGTCTCTATACACTTAGAATCTCTGATGTACTTTTTCCTTGAATTGTTGATAATTTAATCTCACTTTGGATCTAATTCTGATCAACTAGGGGAATGGTAGAGACCAGTAGGGGGTGGAAAGCTTCAGCTGGTGAAGCAGAAGTACTGAAAACTTCGAAGTAAGCACCAAAGAGAAGTTGGCTAGTCAGATTTGAACTCTGAAGTTTAAAATAACTGATTTTAAAAGTTCAAAAAAAATATATGCATGACCTGAAACTCAAAAGGAAAGATACTTCAACAGGAATGGGAGGGCTCTCCAGAACTTAATTCTAACCATACAACTGCAAATTATCTGAGCAGATGAAAATGTGGAGGCATCTAAAGACAGTAATGTGATCCCCCAGAGAGTGGCCTAATGGGCTCAAATTTTTAAAGGACTCGGTACAAAAAGATCAAGAGAAGGGACCATAAGAAAGAACATATCATGGCCCATAACAGCTTAAACTTGAAAAAAAAGGGGGCGTAGTCTTAAAGTTATGTTTGAAATCAGAAGAACAGGAAGGATACAGACCTCCTGTTTGAGATGGATGGTGGTTCTCAGAAGATACGAAGAAAGGGAAGGATAATCTTCAGACTAGAAAGAATGAACAAACCTTGGTAAGAGGGAAATGGGTGAAGAGACTGGGATTTAGAGATCCAATAATTACTTGCCAGGATGAATTCACCCCAGCATACACAGAAAATTAACAGCTAAAATGCAACCAAATAATCTTTGATCTGGTGAACCTGAGATCAGGTTCAGGTTCAGGGCAAGAAGGGCATGTGTAATCCTAATTTTCAAAAAGAAGACAACAATGCACTTTGCAGACTGTCTGGAAAATTCTAGAACGATGTAGTAAATGAAAGGAAATGAGAGTCATGGAGGAGGAGACTCCTCTAGGACATACTTGCTAACATGAGTAACAGCTAAAATGATGGGGGACTGGGGAATAGTTTGGATGGGAATGTAAAAGACATCTGGATTTTGACAGGCATCTGATAAGTTCTCCCATGATATCCTTGTAGACCTGATGGAGGAATGTAGACTAAATGACACTCCAGTCATGTTAATCATGAAATTATTGATTTTATATTAACCAGAAGTCTCCCTGGTGGATCTGGAACATTCAGGAAAATTTATAATCTGTGACATAAGTAGTAGTGACAAAAACTTCAGGAGTATAGCCTTAAAAAAGAAGATAACTCTGAAATAAGTCAAGGCATCATATTGAAAGAAGATCAACAATTTCTATGTAGCCCCTCAAATAAAGAAAATGGCATGGGACACACTGGAGCTAGGGCACTCATGGTCAATGAGGGTGTCCAAACAGAGGCCAGTGACCATCTGTCAAGGATGGGGACTCAACAGGATAACCTGTTAGGTGCTGTATGAGTTGCTGCTGTAACAAATTATCACAAACTTCATGGTAAAAATCAGGTCCTAAAATTAAGGTGTCAGCAGGGCTACATCCCTTACAGAAGCCCTAGGGAAGAATCTGTTTCCTTGCCTTTTCCAGATTCTAGAAGAAGCTGCTTGCATTTCTTGGCTTGTGGCTCCTTCCTTGAATCACTCTGATCTCTGCTTCTAATGTCACATCTCCTCTGGACCCAATCCTCCTGCCTCCCTTTCAGGAAGATCCATGTGGTTATATGGGGCCCACCCAGATAAGGTAGAATTATCCCCTCATCTCAAGACCTTTATAAAATCCCTTTTGCCATTAAGGAAACATATTCTCCTTTCAGGGCTTAAGATGTGGACATCTCTGGGGAGCCATTATTCTCTTTGGCACAGGTCCCTTTCAAGCTTGTGATTCAATGAATTCTTTCCTGGGAGAGCAAGAGCTGAAGAGTCCCTGTTCTCAGTGACTGACTGTCCCAAAACCTTAAATTCTAAACTACAAAACAATTCTTTAAAGATCCTGACAAAGTTGAACATGTCAGCTTGAGTACAAGTTTAATGTAGTTAATTATAAACACTGAACAGATACCAATCCTTTTCACAAACGCTAAGATTAACCCAACAATTAAATATTAACTTTTTAGTAGGCTGTAAAGTTTATTTCCTTATAAACCCCTATTTACAGGCTTACCTAACCATTTAAATAGAGCGACATACATTACCACTGAACCAGGTGGCTAAGAGTTTATGATTACCCTAGAGCTTCCCAGAACTAGGCTAGAACTTTAGAAGAAAATGCACAAAATACTGAGGAAAATACCAGATTTTCCTCAGGCTGCTACTACATTTGATTGTAATACAATTATCCAGACTTTATTTTATTGTATTTTTTTAAAGATTTTATTTATTTATTTGACAGAGAGAGACACAGCGAGAGAGGGAACACAAGCAGGGGGAGTGGGAGAGAGAGAAGCAGGCTTCCCACGGAGCAGGGAGCTCGATGTGGGGCTCGATCCCGGACCCTGGGATCATGACCTGAGCTGAAGGCAGACGCTCAACGACTGAGCCACCCAGGCGCCCCTTATCCAGACTTTATTATCACTCTTCGATTTCTGTTCATAGTTACTCCCCATCAATTTCCCTTGCCTCCAACCACCTGTCTCCAAACCCAACCATAGGTTAGTCTTTCAAACACAGCTTTCCATTTATTTTTTCTTTGAAATTCAGCCCCAAATGAGATTTTTTTAAAGATCTAGGAATGTAGAAAATAATTTTGCACCCATATTTCAAGTCAAGAGGAAAACCATCCATGCTGATTATAATCCAATATGCTGTAGAAAAAATAAACCTACAATTAACACTTCTGATCAACAATTTCAACCCTTTTGTATATTAAATATTTTTTTGTAGAACTGACGGAATAGGAAGACTTAAGGACAGCACAATCATGAAAGAATGAGTAACTGAAGGGGAAAGGAAATTCTTCCATGAGATGTAAGCTGCATGAGAAGTGACTAAGTCTTATTCACTGTGGTCTCCCTAAACATACAATACAAGGCCTGGCAACTAGTGGGTGTTTCAATGCAGAGAATCATGAATCGAGCACCTGGCATGGTGACTCACACGTGGTAAGCATTTGAAGGATTGTTGAACAACGAGTCCTTTCATTAGTTAGAAAGGATGGGACACAACATGAGCAGAGGAACAGGACGTTGGTCTTACTTTAATATCCTTGTCTGGCTTGGTTGCTGAACTGTTCCCACAGGCCAATGAAGCACTGTCAGGAGAGGTGGGGAGTCCAGGAAGAACGGTCACCGCCCGGCCACCGGGCTCGGTCTCCAGAGAGGCGGTGGTGATGTTTGAAGAGGTCAGTGAAGCAGCCGCAGCACACGCCAGAGGGGCACTGACGCGACCCATATTAATGGCAGCCACGTGGGTGGCAGGGCCTGCCACTGGAGGTGGAAGTTGTGGGGAGGCCAAGGGATGATGGGGCAGGCCCACAGATGCAGGGCCCAGGCAGGCGGCGTTCTGTACCTGGATGGGTGTCACCGCTGCTGTAGGGCGTTCTTGGTTATGTGCTGCAACTAGTAGATGACAGGAGAGAAGACAGCAAAATTGGCCTTTCTGATAAATGCTACTCCCCAAAATATGAGTCATTTCCGTACCTCAGCCCATAATGAAGGCTGCTATTGCATTTTTGCAATAAATAATGGATGTATGCTGGTTTAAAAGCACTTAATCTTAGCTGGGTCCCTAGACACGGTTTTCCTTCCAGATCCGCTCTTTAGTCTGGAGAGAGCTTGGAAACTTAGCTATAACCCCAGGCTGTTCAGTTAGAGAGAAGGTCTTTTCACAGATTTATGGACACAGCCTGTCTTTGATGGTACTCTAGAGTGTCAGATTAGGTTGGCCTCCAGTCCTTTTTAAAATGATTCTCTTTTCAATCAATCAATCAATCAATCAAAATTTTTCTCCCTTTTCTTACTAACCATTTTCCTTCTTTTGGTTTTTATGACAGAATTTACAAGTTTACCCCACCACTGTTACCCAAGACCCTTGGGTAGGTTTTCAATGCTACAGAAAGAAGAAAGTCATTTAAGATCCCATTAGGTTTAAAATAGACTTGAGATTAAGTTCATCAGAAATAATCAGCACACTGGTTAGTGGAGTACGATGTTGTGGTCACGCGGCTGACGGCAGTGAGATCTGAGCTCCTACAGTCTGGACTGCAGAAGTCGTATTTTCAAGTCCTATCGACATTCTTAGGATCAGCCTAATTTCTTTCAGACTTTCAATCTGTAGATCAGGCTTGAATTAATGTGCGGGGCAGGCTTAGCCAAAATAAGCAGATGTGAAGTACCACTGACTAGACTGTGCCTGCTTTATTTCCTAATGTTCTTCATTACTGTAACACGACATCTGCTTTTCTCTACAGCTGTGATAGAAGAGCTGGTATTAGGCAAGCACCCCTTTCCAGGTACTTTCCAGTCTGGTCTCCTCCTTACCTGTCCTCACAGCATTGCGGGCCTGGTTGACTGTCATCTGCCCGGTCATGTGCAACAAGACCTTAGCCTGAGGACTAGTCTGGATGTGAGCTGCTGACACCACGGCTGTGGGGACAACACTGGGACTCCCGGCCATACCATTTCCCTGGAGCTTCTGGGCAGGCCCTCCTGCAGTGGAAGGACTGACCATAGTCACCCCTCGACTTGTCTGACCAGCAGTAGACATAGGGACTTTAGCTTGGGAAGCATTTGTCACGGTCCTGCCAACACAGAAACAGAGACAGAAAGCCCAATCCATCAGCAAAACGGGGGAGAGAACAATTAAAGGCAAGAAAAATGACTCAGGGCTTTGAGACAGAACATTTTAAAGAATGAATGGAATTATTTTTACAAAATGTAAGAATCACAAATTCAAAGTAAAGATGGCCCTGAGGGAGAGAAAGGTCTGGAAATATATTGTGAGTCACAGAAAATTACATGTCGTATTTTGCTCAAAAATATGCGGTCACTGGGTTCAGCTTTCCATATCAAGGCTCAACACCTCCACTGTCTTTAAGGCCCTGAATTCTTCTGCTTCAGCCATCAAAGAAGTTGATTTATTTGTTATCGCTGCTAAGAACATCAGCAGTTTCACTCCTTTTTCAGAGCTTTGCTCATGTTTTTTGCCCTTCTCCCTGCTCGCCCCCAGGTCTGCATCACACAAGGACCTGTGTATGTGCATGCCTGTGCACACACACATATGCACACACTCTTGGAACATTCTCTCTGGCCTCTCTTGATATGTCTTAATCTCACGTATGTTTCAAGGTCCAGCACAAATCTCTTCTTTTCAAGAAGCCTTGCCTAAGTTTTAGGCTTAAGACCTTATGATTTTATTGTTTCATGTGAATTTCTTCCTTCTATGGTCCTTGATGACAAAATGTATTATTTTTACCATGTAAATTCTTTAGTAAATACTCCTGATTCAGTAAAAGTTCCTTGATAGCAGGCCCATGTGAAAAGGTTCTTTTACATTCCTCCAGATACAGACAGCTCTAAAGGAACATTTACAGGTTGAATTAAATTAAATTAGGTTCAATGTAGTTTTGCGTCATGTATTTTTTTTATAAATTCATTTAAACAATTCTATATAAAGTAGCTTTCTACTAAGTAGAATACTTCATTAACTCCAACATCCTTATTATTTACTATGATAAATAACAGAATTTATTGTAAGTAAGCATCTCTCCAGAGACTTTTAATAATTTGTTTTTGAAGGTTATGAAAATGCTTTCCTTCATTAGCTTAGTCTTTGTTGTGGTTTGGTTTGTTTTATTTCCCTCAGTTGTTGTGGTGGGTTTTTGTTTGTTTTTTTTTCTCACCAGGGAAAGTCTATCTGCTATCTTCTGGATCCTGAATGTAGATTTTAACATATACAGAAAAGATGGTTTATATTGATTAAAAATCTGCAAGTCAAATTAAAGCTAACATTCTGTCACCATCTGCAACAATAGTGATTTTCATTTGATTAGGCTGCTGGCCAACCTATAAATCAAGGCCAACAGCTGACAAACATGTCAGTTCATTAAGCCATTTATTTAAAATCAGGGTGTTTGAGGAATGATTTAACAGAGCTAAACCCGGACCATTTATTAAAAGCCCAGTAGCTAAAAACTGGGGCTCCCTCAATGCCATTATAGGTCCTTCCATTCAGTTTCCAAGGCTGCTTTCCTCAGTGACAAGAAGGTGGACTATCTTTAAATAAATTTTGGGAGGAAAAAAAAAAGGAAAGAAAATCTTGTAAACATAAAGCTCTTACTTCCTATTATCCTATAATAGGGTTTTTCAACCTGAGGGGCATTTTGGGTCAGACAATTCCCTTTGGTAGGAGGTTGTGCTGTGTCCTATAGGACATTTAGCAGCATCCTTGGCTTCTGTGCACCACATGCCAATAGCAACGTCCTCCCACATCCTCCAGAGTAACAATCAAAACTGTGTTGAGACATTGACAGATTCCCTTGAGGAGCAAAATCACCCTTTTTGAGAGGGATGAAGGATCAATGTCATATTTAAGGAATTTTATTTCTGACTATATTATAGAAATTAATTGCCAGAATTCCAAGGTAATCACCAAGCTATTGGAATAAATATAGAGCCAGACACCTAGGTTTAAGCACTTCTTCACTGTGCGATCTCAGACAAGTTATTTAATCTCTCTGTGCCTCTGTTTTCTCATCTATTAAGTGGGGATAATAATAGCAACTACATCAACAAGTTGCTTAAGGACTCAAGAGTTATTATGTGTAATATGCATTTCGAAATCTGCCTGCCTGGCATATAGTAAGTGTTATGTAAACATGTTAATAATATAGCTTTTGTTTATACTAAACATATTTTTTATTTTTGAGCAGAAAAATGTTGAAAATTGGTATAGTTGGATCCTCTGACATACACCTTCAAACAAATAACTTAAAACCCAGTACATATATTGGTAGAAACATACAATTTCACATATACTCATGTGAAAAGTAAGCTAAGAATTTTAGAGTTAGAAGGGATTTCAGCAAGTATAGATATGAATTTTTTAAATCTTGGCTACGTAACAGGCAATTATAGTGTGAGAAGGAATCTTGGATAGGCTGAAAACCATGGAAAAGAACAAAGCTTCTCTGTTTAGAACTTAGTAAACCATTTACTTAAAACCATACCTTGTGACTGGTGCCACATAATTGCCAGGGAAAACCCCTATCTTGCTGGTATGCATTGATGTCCCTTTGAACCAGCCGTCCTGGCAACGCTCAAACACTAAAAACATCTCCCCTTTCCTCAGCTCCAGCTCGTCCTCTTTCCGGGGAGTGTATGGATATATAGCAACATACCTAGAATAGAAAAGAGTATGTGATTTCAGGCTGAGTAACAGATAAACCCCAGGATACACAAAAACTCTTCCTTGGTACAAAGTCTTGAATATTCCATACAGATGTAAACAGAAAATATAATCCTCTAACCTGTAAGTAGCATTGGTAATTTTCCATTGAAAGAGGTTTAGTGGCCTACATTTAAAAGACAGACGCCTTCCTGATTAAGAACTGCCAACCTGGTCCCCCCAGTGTGAAGGTGACTATCCCACCAAATGGTATTTGTGGGGTGTGAAAGAATTATGCAGCTTCCCAAAGTGCCTAACCTGCTGCTGGGGATTAGGGACCCACTGGGAAACTTGAGCTCTTCAAATGGCACTTGTTAGTTGTGGGAAGTAGCCCTGAATGAGGACATATGGCACGAAATCCCACTGGGAGGCACAATGCACTGCCTTCCACACACAAGCTGAACCTAGAGGCTTGGGTTGCACCTGCTTTTGGATGCTCAGCAGGAAAAATACTGAATTTGAAAAAGTCAAAAGGAAAAAAAGCCCAGATCATAGAGTGCAAAACTACCCCACAATGCAAGGTGACTGTGCCGCCGACATATGGAAACCAGGCAGGCAACACTAACCAATAGTGGTTTGTTTGTTTATTTGTTTTAACCAGGGCTCTAAAGTGTTCCACGTATAAAATCACACAATGTAGGAGCCACAAAAATCTAGCTGTATTCTGCCATTGGTAAACGTTGAACAAGACAATGAGACAATGAGACTTTTCTGGATACTTCTTGTTGGGGACTTACAGCTTTTCACATGCACACTCCCTCTAGATCTGATTTGTGTGGAATACCTTCCTGTTCTTAGTATCCTAATGCAAGGAATGAAATTGGAGACAAAATGCTCAAACAGGACTTACACAAAAAGATGGCTCCATGTACACATAGTATTATGAAGAAGCAAACACTACGTTTCCCTAAACTGTAAAAGGCCTTCACTCAGCAGAATGGCTGCCTAGCAAGCTCATGTGTTGGACCCATTTTGTTTCAGCAGTTTCCTAATTATATGCACGACTGGGTGTAAGTTTGCAGAACACAGACCACTTTGGTGAGCCATAAGCCTGTCACCAGCTCCTATCAGAAAGGTGTTTCTCTACCTCTGCTGTTTGGGCTTAGTCTGAAATGAACTTTAAAGCAGTAATAAATGACACCCTCACTTACACACTGGGGCGAGTCTGAGGCCGTAAATGTGCAATCTGGTCAGCGGGTCCCGCTGTGGGCCTCAGTCCCATTCCAGCAGCAGCGCCCGGAGGTGTGGAGGACAGTGAAGGGGGCGGTGGAAGAGGAGGATTCATCGTCTGGTATGAGGACAGAGAGAGAGAGAGAGAGAGAAGAAGAATGAATGATTGATTGATTTACATCTTTTATGGAAGGTGGGAGGGAAGAGGAATCAGGAATCCATAGGAAAAGACCTGAATGGAATCCACAGGGAGCAGAACCAGCAGGCTACCTTGTAAGAAAGCCTCCTTTAAAAAAAAAAACTCATCCCTTGTTCTCCTTTAAGATCTTAGAGCCACAGAAACTTTTTTAGCAAACAGTAAGTAATGACACTGGGGAAGAGGGAAAGAAAAAAATGGAACAACAGCATGTAATTTTAAGATTAATAACATTTTTCAGTATAGACCTGGATAAGAACCCCAACGCTTTTCAAGCGGGCAGCTATAATGTCACACTGCTTGCTAGGAATTAATTTGTGATTGTTTCTGTAACTTGTAACTTAAACACAACACAGAACAATTCAGCTGCACTATATCTCAAACCATTCCTTCAGAAGAAAATTTCCTTTGATGCCTGGTTTCCAAAAAGCCCAAACAATAGCAAGCCACAATCACTGGGCTATTGTTGCTACTTTTGCTTATTCTTTTCTTAACTTTGCCAGCTTTTGAAATTTAGTACTATCAAGGCTGGTAATCTTTAACAAGTACACCAGTGAAAAGCTGCTGGTTCCTTTATGGGCACAGCCTAATGGGGTTCTGCCTACAGGATTCCATGCCTTTTGAAAATCAATGGAGCAATTGTTACTTTCTGATCTATAAACCCCAGATGATTCTTCAGGGTCTGTATACTGAAACTCCTGAGAAAGCAGGCACACAAAGACTTGCCTGAACCCCCACCTCGCCCTTCCCAAATCTTTGAACCACTAGATGTAAAAACTGAATTAAAAGAGAAATAAGGAAACTAAAGAATGCACCTAGGAAAGCATAAATGGCTTTCACACATCAGTGTATAAATACGAAAAACACAATGATCTCTAAATATAGTTCGTAAGTCACTTTGTTTCTATTTCGTGAAATAAAAATTCACATCTCATCAACATTTGCTTCATCTGCCTGTTAATGTACATAGTTCCAGAAACACAATAAACTAAGTAGAAAAAAATTTCAGAATTCTAGACATATGTTGCAACCGTTTCACACATTATATTTAATTTTTTGCTGAAGTGACTTTGGAGAAGGATTTTTCCCATACCGAAGCTGAAGGTGTTGTGGAACATGCAGTGCAGAAATAAATGAGGCGCAGAGCTGCTTACAGAGTGCTAACCTGGACAAGGCAGAGGCCAGTTCAGAGAGCTAGAACTGCATGAACGTTACTCACACTCTCCATACAAAATATGGCAGTCTTAAGATTTGCTACAACTCTGGAATTGCATGCACTGGGGCTTAGAGTCCTCAAAACCTTTGACCAGGAGGTCAAGCATTCACTCCATTTGGGCTCCTCCCAGTGACAAAGGAGAGAGAAACAAAGATAATCCTGGTAAAACACTCAGCACACATGACCCGAGCAGTTCACTGGTAATAACAACACATTGGTAGCTTGTCGGGCAAGGTAAAACGTCTAGACTGTACACCGGGTAATATATGGACACTGTAAAATTACCACTCAAATGATTTCCACTGAAATCTTCCGAAGCCCAATCTCCAAAGAGCGTGGCTGTGGGAAGGAGGAAGGCCAGTGCACAAGCTCAACAAGGAGCCCAGTGAGAACTGCTCCTGGAAATTACTTAAAATAGTACCTAAGGCCCAGAAGCAAAAAGCTCCATTTCACACTCTGAGTAGAATTCTATTTTCAAGAGGAAAGGAAATTAAAATTGTCTGTCATATCTTAACTTTATTAAAACAGAGGCTGTACTAAATTAGCCCTAAGAAGAAAAAGGCAAAAAAACATCTACGGACCTGATAAAAACATGTCACATTCTGTTAACAAAATGTAAAAAAAAGGTCAGCTCTTACAGCTAAAAAATACAGTAAACAAATGTTTCATGTACATCCCTTTCACAAAGAGTTAGTTAGAAGTCATTGGAGATATGGCTTAGAAGAGGATATTCTGAAAGATCCCAAAGGTTGTGCTTGAGAGAAAATGCAGTTATTTCTATTTTGTGGTTGAAACGGTCTTAATAAAATTGGGCAGATTTTTTCCCCCCAATGTTGGGTTACATATCTTTGGGGGAAATGTGCATATGTGTGTGCACATGTACTCGGTATATAAGCACACAAAGACCAAGAGAGAGAGTCTGATTAAAATCAGATTCCTAGATGTTGTTCAGCCCTGTGGGGTTGGTAAAATGATAGGGCTCGGGTGAGTCCAGAGCTGTGACTGACTAGGAAGTACTGTGGGTTGCTTTATAAACAACTTAAATTGAAATAATCTGGTGATGTGGAAGTTCAAAAAGTAATCCACTGCGTGTTGTGCTTCAGGCAGTTTGCTATCTTGCAAGACCTGAAATTTCTACAGAGCAAACCACAGCCTTTCATTCACCCAGAGCTGACCTGGAGACCTGCTTATTATTTCATAGTCCAGTCCAGAGCAGGCACCAGAGGCCAAGACACACTCTCCACCAGCAGCAAAAAAAAAAAAAAAAAAAAAAAATCTATGGGCCTGCAAGAAGTAGAGATCACATTTTGCTCATATTTTGTTAGCTTAATATTGTTCAGAACCAAATCCCACACTTAAGTGCCATTTTCACTAAACATTGCATACTAAATTAATAGCTTAAGCACTCATCACTTGAGTTTCATTTTATGGAAATGCAGCAGGTCTGTATTATCAAAGTAAAGTTGTCTAGAACTATGGGCCAGACCACAGAAATACTAATGTAGAAAATGGGATGTTATTCTGATATTCATTAAAAATGAGCTTCCTCCTTGTGTTTCTATAGATTCAGATCTTCTGTTCACAGTCTGTGGTAATGGTCTGAGGCAAGAATTGCTATTTCTGAATAACATTTAGCTTAAAAACGGGACAGTGGTCCGCTAATGTGAAATGATCATACTTTGCCACGTCCAGGTTCTGTTCTGTCCCCTCACCCTACTGACCTTGAAAGCAGCATCAGCTTTACACTGTAGAAGGAGCGTGGGCTTTGGGGTCAGAAAAACATAGATGATTCCAATCTTGGCTCAGTGTCTTAGGGCAGTCCTTGATTTCCCTATGTTAGAATGAACCCCAGCAAAGTGTCCTTTCTGAAAGGGCTGGATTCTAAGCCAGACAAGCCACATTTGCTAGTGCCCATTGTGAGTGAAAAGTTGAAGTGTGTGGGTATGATACCACTCCACTCCAGTGCTCTCTCCTCCTTTTGCCCTTTCATGCGACCGAAGAGTGGTTAGGTCTGGATTTGGCTAAAGATAGGTGACAAGATCCATTAGGTTTTAAGCCCGGGCCATGGGCTGCAGGCCACCTTACCAGTAAAGTGCTTTGCTGGTAAAGTGCTTTGGAGTTTGGGGCATAAGTTCAACTGACAATAAAGGATTCATTTTCTTTCCAATTGTCCTTTAGGTGTGTATTTCCCTCACATCCATTTCTATGTCCCAGGGTAGAAAAGTGACTGGCAGGATAGACTTTGGGCATTTCTCGGTCCCTTGGGCAAATACCATGTAATATCCCCCAATGCCAGAATCTTGTTTTTTTTTTTCTCAACATCTGATTTCCAGTCAACCCACTTTCAACCCTACACATCAACATCTCTAAACAGCCTCTCTGGGTACTGAACCCAGATGCATGTATATAGGCTGATGGAGAAACGGTTGAAGCTGCTGTGTCGTTATGCTCCCTCAAGTCAGGAGTGTTAGCAATTTCAGCAGCATTACTGTCTGTGTAGAGCAGGGTTTGTGCAATTATGTGAATAGTTTGCTTTATTTTATGACAATGAGTAGGAAGTAAAAAAGTGGAAACACTGACACTAGTGATTAAAAAAAAACCCTTAGGTGTCAGAATTCAATAAAATTAAGATAAAGATGGAAGGTCCCAACTCTTAAGTCTCAACTGGATGCTCACTGGAATGAAGCCAGTCAGTTGTGGGTACAGCTATGAAGAAAAAGAAATAAAATTAAAGAATATATTTAAAAAATACTAGAAATAGATGCTTAGATGATGTCTAAAGGGGAAGATGTAATTAAGAATTTGGGACTTTTGTCCCACATCGGGCTCCCTGCTCTGCGGGGAGCCTGCTTCTCCCTCTCCCACTCCCCCTGCTTGTGTTCCCTCTCTCGCTGTGTCTCTCTGTCAAATAAATAAATAAAATCTTTAAAAAAAAAAAAAAAGAATTTGGGACTTTAAAAAAATCTCTCCAGGAATGGAATTTCCCTCACAAATTATAGATCTCTTGTTCTACCTTTGATTCGTAAGAAGACATATCTCTGATATTAATTGGCTTTGTATAAATTACATAAGGTCTCTATGCCTTAATATACCCAATCTGTGAGATGGAGTTATAATTAGAAATAGTTTAGGTAAAGCTGTCTTTCCCAGTACCCTGAAGCACAGCAGAAGCCCAATAAAGAGAAGCTGTTGTTATGATACATGAGACTGTGAACTCAGAACACTGTTTTACTCATCTTGTATTGCTGTCACCCAGCTTTGCAGACAGAAGTTAACAGATCCTCAGTGAGCTTTTCACAAATGAGAAAACGTTCTGTGCTTCTACCTCTCTTAGGACAACATGATACGGATCAAGAGGCCTTGGCTCCTGAGATGCTAGAGTCCTTTTCTGTTGTTGCTGGGAACGTTCTGGCCATATTCTAATCCTGATTTTCAGAACTCCCACCAATTCCAAGGGCTCAACTTGTACCTCTCAAACTATTGACATTGGCAGTTCCATTCCCCGACTTCCAGAGCCCTTCCCTGATCCTGTCGATAGCAGTGAGTCCTGCTGAGCCTACCACCATGGGCTCCAATGGACTAATTACATGCTGGCTATTCTGAGAACCTGACATCATTTAATTTGCTTCTCTAAATACACGCACAGACACACTATGTGTGTATGTGTAAAATTTTTTTAGTTAGGGTTACGCATTTTTGGAATGCAGTCGGTCTATAAGCTGGCCACAGGCTGTATTTGGTCTTTACTGGCCTGCCTAACTGTGACATCTTGCAGCTAAACACTTCTCAGATGGTACAGGGGATTGGGGATTCTTAATCACTCATTTAAGAGTTCTTCTGCCCTTATGCAGAAAATATGAGACTCATACAGATCCTCATCTTTCTCCCTTCACAAAATTAGTTGGAAAAAAAACCCCTCACTACTATTTAATAGCCTGATGTCTGAATTAGATAGATATAATGCTAGTTTTGCTCCTAATATTAGAAATCTAACATTTTAACTGTTACATGTGAAATGTACAGGACAATATGCTCCTAACTTCATTCTGCATAAAAGATTAGAAAGTCTCAATTCATGATAAAAATACTAGAAATAATTTCATTTCCTACTCTAGTGTTGGCATTTGTTACCTAATAAATCCACACCACGAAAAGCATCGTTTTCTCTCTATCAAGCTGCATATTATTGCTGTGATTGTGCTCAAATTCTTTGAAAATATTTCAAATTTTAAATAGGATACTTGCCATGATTAATGTAAGATACAGAGGGTACATGCTACTGAGATTTTTTCCCCCCACTTTAACATATTAAATCCAAAACATTGCTGCCAGTCCCTACCAGGGACTTTGAGATCTAGACATCTCCTGGGATGACAGACAGGTCTGTTTATAATTAGTTTTTCATTAAATGGAATTGGCACAGTAGACATACTGTTTAATAAACCTTCCTCTTGCTTAACATGCAGGCTTTCTTATATAATCCTAGGATGAAATGGTTGAATGTAAATTAATTTTTGTATATTCATGCTCTCTTGTGACCAGTCTCACTGATTTGCCCTAGAGTGTGCCTCCAGCTAAGAGCAACTGGCCATTTACTACACTGTAAAATTTTCAGCCCACAAGGGCTGAAATTCAGCCAGCTCTGTCTTTTCCACTAATTAATTTTTCTAAGATCAGAAAAAGCAGCCTTTTTCTCTTAAGAAATTATGCTAGAATTTTTCCATGTAATCATCTGGAAATGGAAATATCAACTGGTTGTGTATGTATTGGGGTGGGAAGGGAAGGAAGGAAAGGAGAGAGTCTTCTCTGGAGATAAGAGGGCAGGATGATTATGGAACTTGGCTCTGGTCAAAATACCCGGAGCTAACAGAATCTCATGGAAACCACATTTCCATAAAAGTTAACTGAATTTCATCTTCTCCCCAGAAGAATCAACACAACTTTTCCTACACCAAACAGTGGTACTATCAAGGAAGTGTAATCGTTCTGGAAATAAAAAATAAAAAAAAAATGCAACTTTAACCTCTAACCAGAACATTATTAACTTCCATTTAAATACAAGAACATGCTTGACTCTATAAAAAGTTTTCTAAGGTCTAAGTCAAGCTAGGTACTAACTCCACATTTATTTATATCCCACCTTGTTTCAAAGTAAAATGAGGCAAAAGGAAAATGAGGACAATAAAACGAGATGGAGCCAACATCTTGACTAATGTGCTAATATGTCGTGAGGTCCTAAGTGGGGGGGGTGGGTACAGATTTGGCTCTAGCATTCTAGCAGAAGGAAACATAATCTTTACAACATATATAAAATCCACAACCTAAAAACAAACCAGCTGCCTAGAAGCCTCACTATTCCTGGTACAGAGAGCAGAGAAACCATAACACAATGAACCAGGCCCTCCGAGCCATTCTGAGAGCCAACCAGCGGCACGTGTCACAGGCCCACCTTGCAACAGTCCTCAGTCGAGACCAATAACGAGATCAGGAATAGTCATTCTAGGCATGGTGCGGATTCTCCAAAGTACATAGTATTAGTTTCATTTTACAGGTAGGGATACTGAAGCTTAAAGAGGTTGAGTAACTTTTCATGGTCATGTAAACAAGTAAGTGGCTGAGCTGGGCTTTCAGCTCAGGTCTGTATCCCCATCACTGGGCCACGCTGTTTCTCTGAGAGCATCACAGCTAGGTGAGACTCTAAAGCGATTTACAGGGCTGGGGCCTGCTGGGGAGATCTGATGCAGGGATCTATTTTTTCTATTCTCATTCGACTCAGCACTAAAAGAAACAGTCTGAAAGCATAAGCAAGGCATTGGCCTAGATGAGAGATGTCTCACAATTGCCGGTTCCTTGTAGTTCATGTGCCTGCAATTTCAGGAAACAGGGATTTAAACTACTGTGTTTCTGCTATGTAAGGTTGAATTTGCTTGTTTCTTCTTCCCTTTTTTCTCTCCATAGTGTTCTTCTTTGTATCCATCTCCCTTGGCTGCCCTAATTTCTCCTATTAATTTCTCCCTTGAGGATGTTGTAAAGCAATTAGTGTTTAGACTCTTTAGGATGCGATGTCTTCAGAAGGAAAATCAACACAATCTGAGGGAGGATTCCAAGGGAACATAGCTGCAGCTATCAGTGGAAGACGAGAAACCAAAAGGTGAATCATAAATGGAGAGATTTGGAATCGACTCATCCTGTGACTCAAAGCAAACTGTTTAGCTTTTGGGATCCCGATTTCCTCAGTATTTCTATAAAGGTGTCTTTGTAAGAAGTAAGTGAAGTCTAGAAACTGAAAAGAAATGAAAAAGAAATGTTCGGTTAAGCCTTCGGGAAATCAGGCTGAACGTTAATGAAAATTAAAAGGATTTTATAGAAGTCTTCTAATGGTTTCAGGCCACTGATCCTCACTGTTAAAAATTATGCAGGCTGTAGGCAAGAGACTTCCTCATTTTTTCTGTGAGATGAACAGAGATAACAGATGAAAGCGATCCACCCCCACCTAGCAAGTGTCAACGTAAACTGCAGGTGTTAGGTGGTGGGGTGTGCCAGATTAATGGGACTAAATACCTGAGAGAGAAACAGAGATGGAGAAGCTGTACTCACTCCAAGGGCGGCTGGGTAAGGAACATCCGACGGGAAAGTGAACGAGGGGCCAGTTGTCACTGGACTGCTGGGGGGTGGGGTCACAATTAACCCGGTGGTACTTATATGAACCTGCCAAGAGGAAAAAAAAGTTAATTAAAAGACAACTCCATTTAATACAACAGATTGTACTGGCTAGACCTTGGGGAGGCAAGTCACAATTTAAAAAATATATGTATCTGTCTTTTCTATTTGGGGAAGGCAGAAGCTCTTTAAGTTTATTCAATCTACATTTACTGATTACCTAATCTGTATTCGACACTGGGCGGTCACATGACAAATACTGGCCACTGCGATGGTTTTCATACAGAATTCAACTGCTGTTGGCTTTCGCAATAACACGCTGCTTCACTTGGGATGCCACTGTGAACCAAACTGACCTTTCAGATGGTTAGTCTCGTGCTTGACTAGCCCACTAGCAATTTCCCTGAAGATCCTGTTAAGGTAGGTTGAGGCTGAATACTCACCTATCAATATGTAAATCTATGTGAAGTGCTTAAGGTATTTTGTTATTCTCGGGATAATTTTTCATGACTTCTACTTTTCAGTGGGGATGCATAATTAAAATGCAGCTGCCTAGACATGCCTAGAGCAGGTAATTATTTATAAAACCTTTAAAGGAACAATGTCAAGCCAAATTAGCTGTTTTCAAAAGGTGTCTTATCCCTGATACTACCCAAGATTAATTTACTAGAAAGAAATTGAGTTATCCAGGTCATTTCATTGCCTGTGTTCAGTTATTTGATCAATTTCACTCATGGTGAATATCAGGTCCAACTACAGAATGCCATCATTACTGTGTAGGTTACCACACAACTGGGATGTTTTTCCTCCATTATTAAAGGAATGTGGTTGGCTGGTACCTTGTTCCCCCAAGGAAACAATGATACACCAACAATGCCAGGCCTTTTGTAATAAAACTTAATCCCGGGGCGCCTGGGTGGCTCAGTTGTTAAGCGTCTGCCTTCGGCTCAGGTCATGATCCCAGGGTCCTGGGATCAAGGCCCGCATCGGGCTCCCTGCTCCGCGGGAAGCCTGCTTCTCCCTCTCCCACTCCCCCTGCTTGTGTTCCTGCTCTCTCGCTGTGTCTCTCTCTGTCAAATTAAAAAAAAAAAATCTTAAAAAACAAAACAAAACAAAACAAAACTTAATCCCAAACATAGTTCCCTCAATTCCCGTATGTTAAGAAAAAGATTATCAAGACAAAGAAAAGCTCCTGAGATTAGTTCCCAGGAGCCTGAAGGAAACTTTGAGTTTCCCTGCTGGGTTAGGCCTTATCAAGGCCAGGGATAATCAGCATCACAGCACACAATTTATTTCCACAAATAAATCTGTGTTATACATGGAATCCACATCCTTTTAAAATCACATCTGTACCTGTTAGCTCATACATTGATTGAACCAAAGGCTTAAACTAAGCAGATCTAAGGGATGACCTCACAAGAGTTTCTCCCCAAACCCTCATTTTTTTGTCTCTCCTGTGAACCAAAGTCTATTTCCAGTCAATTTCTAATGGGAAGCACACTGATTTTTCATCCTAGCATAAAATCCAATGGCCTATAGCTGTTTTAACCAATAAATCTGTTTAAATACATACCCCAAGGACATTTGTAAGTTGACACCACATAAAAGAGGGAGTCTTTCTGAGAAGATACAATGAAGCTCACTTCAAAGTGCACGCCATTATCATAGAACCTTTGGGGTAGAAAAAAACACCAAAATACAGCTTCCTGGGCCTGACCCTACAAATATCTAAGAAAGATCTCATGACTGACCGATGTTTCTCTAAAAGCCACAGGCTGGGAGTCGAGATAGTTAACTGCTAATGAGTTTATTGTCTTGGGAGCTGGACCAGAGGCCCTCCAAGGTGTCCGCCATCATGGACATGGGAGCGGAACAGTGAACACTGAGACTCCTGCAGGCACCAGCCAACACAGGGCCACTCCTAACCCTGGAGTAAAAGGAGATCAAAGTCACCCAAGAATGACTAAGCAGCAGCAGCAGAAGTAAATTGGCTGAGGGTGAGCATGTCCAGAATAAATGCCCTGAATTGGGAAAAATTGACTTTCTACTGTTCTCTTTTCCTCATGGAATGGCAAATTAGTCTGGGCTCCCCCACGAGAAAGGGCTCTGTGGAGAGGGAAAGAGGTGGGGAAAGCAAATGGAAATGAGTGGGCGCACCTCTGGCTCCCCTGAAGCCATTGGCGATACAAAAATGCCACAAGAACACTTAATATTATGAAGCATTCCTCCAGCTGGCAGAGGCCAGAGGAGGAAACAAAATGTCTTACTTATAGCATCATATGCTTTTACAGATGTCAGTTACAGACATCTGTGCATATTTGTTTTGGTGACTCACCTGGACAGCACAGTCTATAAAGAATCTTCCAATTTATGTATTTGAAAGTTCAGCCTTTACTCAATAGTCACCAAATATAATAGCAAGCAAGCCCCTTGCTCCTTTCTTCTGTCCATTTCCCCATCCTGTTGCCTACAGTTTGGATGTCCTGGAGAGATCTGTAAATTCTATATAGAAACATAAGGATAAGGTTCTACCCATATGATGGAAAGGTGAGCTGAAAAGCGCCATCACACCAGCACTTGACTGCCTATATGTAGATTCCAGTCAGGTGAGAGGAAAATGAAAACACTTCTTTGGGCTCCTTACTACAGATTTTCTGAGTGGAACCAAACCTAATTAAGGAAAAGCAAGAGAGAAAATGGGCCAAGTCAAGATAATAAAATATCCTTTTTCTCAGCATTGAGGAAGGAAGGAAGGAAGGAAGGAAGGAAGGAAGGAAGGAAGGAAGGAAGGAAGGAAGGAAGGAAGGAAGGAAAGGAAGGAAAGGAAAGGAAGGAAGGGGAAGGAAGGAAGGGAAAGGAAGGAAGGAAGGAAGGAAGGAAGGAAGGAAGGAAGGGGAAGGAAGGAAGGAAGGGAAAGGAAGGAAAGGAAGGAAGGGGGGGAAGGAAGGAAGGAAGGAAGGAAGGAAGGAAGGAAGGAAGGAAGGAAGGAAGGAAGGAAGGAAGGAAGGAAGAAAGGAAGGAAAGGAAAGGAAAGGAAAGAAAAAAGTAAAGGAAAGGAAGGGGAAAAAAAAAACAACGGGCCAGAGCAGGAGGAGTCAAATCTCCTGCTTGGTCCTTTGCAGGGCAAAGAAAAGGACAGTCCTATTTTAAAGTCTCACATGAGCCATCTTTCCATATACACCGATCTCCACGGTTAACAGAATGTGTGCCTGTCACCTATGTTACACATCATCATTGCTTTATTATGGACTGTGGTTCCTTCCAATGTACACAGTACACTAGACAAGTAGTATTTTCTGTAAACCTGGGCTGGGGAAGCCAGGCAGCACTTGAAACATCTCCCATCGGCTTCTTGAAATAACTTCTCCCTGAGGCAACACATTCCCACCTAAAACAGAATGTATTAGAATATGGGAGGAGGGGTGGAATGGTTGAAAGGGAAACTGTTTTAATGGAACACAGAAAGCCTTGTTTCCGAAGCTACTGCAACCAAAACAAAAATAGCTCTATTTTTAGAGTCTTCATTCCCAGCTCTGGTGTGGCAGCATCAGACATGCTCACACCTGACGGCTGAGTTCTCTACAAAAGATGTAAATGCTAGGTTTATCCATCCTCCTTTCTCTTTTAACTTTCTCTAATGCCAAAAGATCACCGTTTATTCTTTTAAAGCTATTCCTATTCTGAGTTGCCACTGTTCTTACCAGAAACTTACCATTTATTTTAACAAAACATCATTGTGCAAATGTTGCTAGGTCGCACAATAAAAAACTCAGTCAAATGATTCAATTTTCTCGTAGTGAATGGCCATCATTCCTAGCCACCTCTGTCAGAACCTTATTCAAAAATCTTTTGAGCCTTTCCAGAGTAACCTCACTTGGTACTTCTTACTGCAATCTATAATCCATGTCTATTTTTCACATAGGGATAATTAGTTACATGTAAAGTAACAGTTCTCCTCTTTACCCATTTTTCAAGAGATTCATTCATGCAATAAATATTTACTGTGTGTTTACTGTATGTCTGACATTTGGGATATACTGGTGAACAAAACAAAGACCTTTCCCCTCATCACACTTATGTTCTAGTGGGGTATGTCTTGTAGCCTAGTTCCCTCATAAGATCAAAAGCTTCATTCCCCCACCACCTAAAAAACACCAACCACAATCCCGTTCAGAAAATGAATGCATTTACCTCACAACATGCCAGATGAATCTAAGGGAGCGGGGTCAAATAAATGAGGCTGAGAGAAAATAACTTTTAATAACATTGGCAAGGAATACCAAAAACTGTGTTGTAAATTTTTATTCTGTGGTCCAAAACAGGCACTTTAATTAACTGTAAACTTTCTGAGGACCAGGACTGTGTGTGTTTGTTTCTTTGTTTCTTTAAAGGAAAATAACTGATTTTTTTTTAAAACTACATCTATATTATAAAGTAGAATGTAAAATCTGCATGAATTTTAAAAACTAAATACGACACCTGAAAGAAATTTCTCCCACTGTGACAGGCTGTTTTGGACAGGGCTCTCTGACCTTTGGGTTGAGGAAAAATATGGTCATCATCTAATTGGATAATTACAGCAGCCCTGTGACTAAGGCAGAGCCACTTTAGTGGGCTCATTCTGCAGTCCAGAATTGAGGCCTAACATGGGGAAGTCCTATAGCTCATTATCACAGTATACATGGTGCCTAGAAGGGTCTAACAATAAGGCACCCAATAAATGCCTGCTGACTGAATGCATGTTTCCAATCATTAACACAAGAATAATGTGCAGCTATTTCTTAAGATAGTCCAAAGCCTTGATGAACTAATGAGGTTTTTATTTTTTAATTTTTATTCTTTTAAATTTTATTATGTTATGTTAGTCACCATACAGTACATCATTAGTTTTTGATGTAGTGTTCCATGATTCATTGTTTGCGTATAACACCCAGTGCTCCATTCAGTAGGTGCCCTCTTTAATACCCATCACCAGGCTAACCCATCCTCCCATCCCCCTCCCCTCTAGAACCCTCAGTTTGTTTCTCAGAGTCCATTCTAATTTAAATTAAATGTTTCTTCATGTCCTCTCTTTTTTTCATCTATACCTCTTACTGGGAAGCCTAAATATCAGGGTAAGTCACACAGATGCAGGCAACTGTCAACTATGAGTTTCAACCATAGCATCTTCAGTTTGGATGAAGATAAAATTTTAGTTGGCAAGATCTCCCAAAGCAGCCTTGTGACAAGGTTCTGTAACACTGAGCAGTTGCTTGAAACTAAGCATTGTCTAAATCATTTTGTCATTTCCGATCCTTCCTTTGAAAATGACTGAGTAGTTTTGGGTTAGTTTTCTCTTCTCCATTTTTCTACCTACAGAATGAAGAAAGGCTTTACTTCCCAGGAAAGCTACTATTTTCCTTTTTTTTTCTGGAAAGCTATTCTCTTCTGAAGGCAAAAATAAACTGTATTTTTCAGCTAGTGAACAAACATGTTTGTGGGTAGATCACTTTGTCCCCGAGCTCTTTTCACACCTCTATATGATTTACCTGAGAAGGGGCACTGCAGGAAAGCCCAGACAGCTCGCTGATTCGCGCAGCAGCCGTGGGGTTACTGGAGCTGATGAGGACGGGAGGGCTGATCTCCATGGAGTGGCGGTTCTGGGGTGCCTGGGAAGATTTGCTGGCCATAGTGAGAGACGTGAAGGAGTGCCGCTTTTTGGTGTTCTTCTTGGTGTCAGAGTGCTTTGGGGCATTGCTGCTCTGGGCTGCTGCCAAGGTACATTCTCCAGCATCAACTCCTGGCACAGGAGGCTTATCCCATTCTATCAGCTGCTTAGCAGCCGAGTTAAACTGCAAACCAAGAAATCGACACAAGACGGTTACACAATTCTCAAGGACGCGCTGAGATTTATTTTCAACCAGCTTTTATCTAAAACTGAACATCACTGCTTTAGAGTTTGCATGTGCAAGTATGCCTTTGTTTCCACGTGAGATGTCTTTTCTCTCAATACTGGGATTTCATTATATTTGTCACCAAGAGATGTTAAATCAAGAATAAACCATTCTAATTCAAGACCAACAAGGTAAAAAAAAAAATTTCCCCAAGAATTTTCAGAATATCTAATTTTAAAATTTGCCAGTTGTAACAAATGAAGATTCGTTTCAGCTCACTGATGAAATCTAAAGAAGAACAATTAAAAGGGTGCATTTGTCTGACTGAATACTCTGTTGCCTGATAATGGCCGGGTATTTGCTCAGAGCACAAGTGAACACTGAAGGGGCAACTTTTGGGTTTGGTAAAAATGGGCAAGACAACAAAGAATGACACCATTATATGTTAACTCATGCACTGCCACATAAATTAACCTCCTGCTTCAGTGAAGTTGGGGAGAAGTTCACAAAAAAGTTGGTAGACATTCTTGATAATCTGTTTGTCATGTCATTGCATCAGTTCTTTTCATATGTGCTGACAGTTTAAAATCATAAGGGGGTAAAACATGAAGTCCAAGTTCTATTGGCAAGCCAACTTGTCTATTTGAAAAGTTTTCTGACTATAAAGGGTCCAAGGCGTCAAAAGCTGCGCACCGGGCTGGTAACACCAGCAAGAAAGGAAGGAACACAAAATTTGTGTTCCCTGAGGTATAGTAAAATGTTTCCAGAAAGCTGCAATAATAACAAGCTGTACAGAACTTAACTAGATATTATAGTAAAATAGGAAATCACTGAGCAGTTAACCTCTCATAAAAAAAAAATTAAGATGAAAAATAATAGACTTCTTAAAAAGGTAATGTAGGTAAATATTAAGGATACTAGGGATTTTCTCATCTCAGCTTTCCATGGTCAGCACTTCACAAGTGCCCTTAGATAAAATACCATCACCAAATGCTATTTTCCACCCACCTAAATGGTTAGGACCATGTCTCCTCACCCTGTGGATGAGAACGTCCTACTGGAAGAATGGAAATCCTGTCAGTCAATATTTAACAAAGTGAACTTGCCCCGGCCACAACTGGCCGCTCACAGAGCTGTACTAATTGCAGCTCAGTAGCCAGGGCTTCTATAGATGATTGCAAATTGATTAACAATTTGTTCCTGTGGCTCCCCAGGGCCTTGAATTCATCTGGCCTGTCTGATCTACAATTAGTAGGATACATCTTTTTCAAACATGAGCATGCATCTCCTTCAGACTTCAAGGATTTTTTTCCACATGATAAACTTTCAAGAACAATAGGCAGTCATGCTACCATTAACACCTATCAATGCCTGAAGTATCAATGGCAGGAGAAAGAGGACTGTAAGGACTCTGTGTTATGTGTTTAGGAATGAAGAAATGAGGTACTTATATTAAAGGGTGGCCTTATTATAACATTAGAATGGCATTTGACCAAGAGACCCAGAATTTACAAATCCTACCTTGGTCTAGCCATCTCACCCTCTGGTGGTCCCCAAGAAAACCAGATGCCCAAAGGAAGAAATGTAATGTTTTATTACTACGGTGAGAGTGGCCCAAACTTCAGCAATGCCAGAAGAAAAGGAGTCAGAAAATGCCTTCTAATATAAGCTCATTCAGATCCCAAGGCACAAGTCCTCAAAGCATGACTTAATCTATACGCTGGAATCTGACCAGTTAACTGAGACCTCATGTTGCGTTGAGTAAGAAATAGAGAAGGAGCTGAGAAGACTTCCTCCTCATTAAGGCCAAAAATAGGAATTGAAAAAACTATCACATCTACTTGATATCTTAAATTATTCCTGGGATCAAATCATAGGTTCCATTAGTCATGTCTGGTTTGAAACAGTCTGAAATATTACCATAGTCTAGTCCTGTTCTTATGTAGCCAAGTGTTGGTTACAGTTAATATTGTATTAAAATTTCAGGTTTCTGTATGCTATGCTGTGGAATAAACATAAGAAATAAAGTATTGTTCCCTATATTTCCTGCTGTTTTTCTCATTATAAAAATACTGGGTGCTTCCCTCATATCTTTTTCTGTATCACGTATTTTCCATTAAAATAAATACACATTGATCACATGTTACATGCTGGATAATGTGCTGGGTGCTAGAGATCTAAAAACAGACATATAAATAACACATGCAGTCTGTATTTTCCTGTCTTGCTTCTTTCATTCAACAATATACTTTTTGTGATTTATCCATCTGGCTCTATGATTCAGTCTTTTTTTTTAAGTGCTATGCAATATTCCATTGTGCAGATACACTACAATTTACTTATGCATTCTATTGCTGATTTATATTTGGGATCCCCTTCTTTCCCCTTCTCTCTCCTCTCCTTCCCTTCTCCTTCTGTCCTATATATTTTGGCTATTAAGAGCAATGCTGCCGGCATGCGTGGGTGGCTCAGTCAGTTAAGCATCTGCCTTTAGCTCAAGTCATGATCTTGGGGTCCTGGGATCGAGCCCCACACTGGGCTCTCCACTCAGTGGCGAGTCTAGTTCTCCCCCTCCTTCTGTGATCTCTCTTGCTTGCTCTCAAAAAATAAATAATAAGATCTTTTTTTAAAAAAAAGGGGGGGTGTCTAGGTGGCTCAGTCGGTTAAGCGTCTGCCTTCAGCTCAGGTCATGATGCCAGGGTCCTGGGACTGAGCCCCACATTGGGCTCCCTGCTCAGAGGAGAGTCTGCTTCTCCCTCTCCCTCTGCCCCTCCTCGTGCTTGTGCTCTCTCTCTCTAATTAATAATAATAATGATAAAAATCTTAAAAAAAAAAAAAAAGAACAATGCTGCCATGAATAATCTTGTATTTTTTGGTGGACATAGCACTCATCTGGATACTGGATATATGCCTAGGAGTGGAAGTGCTGAACTGCTGGGCCACGCAGTTGGCATGTTTAGAAAAATAAATCTACACGCAGAAGTACGTGCATACAGGCAGACACATCATGGTATGGTGGGAACCAGTGAACTGCAGACCAAAGAAAACAGTTCTGGTCCTCATCCATAAAACGAGGAAGCGGGAGCCAATGATCTTTTTTGTCTCTTTTAGCTCTCCACATGTGTAATGCATTATCTCACTTTAAACAGATATAATTCACTTTTCGATTTCACATCTTTCATTTCTATTCCTCTAAATCACCTATTATATTTTTCCCGCATTTCATTTTTACACACGGGCAGTCATATTTGTTAGCAGAATGCTGCCATAATTTAAAATTACTTTGGACTTCTAAAGCAGCAGAGGTTAGTACTAAAAAATGCTATTTGCTGCCTTTGTAAGTCCCAAAGAAAATCACAAAGTCAAGACTATTTGGCAGAGGCATTGAGTAAATTGGGCAGAAACTTAAAGAGACTTTTATTGTAAGTGTAACTTAACCTTCAGTAACAACAGGAAAGCAAGGATCTGATGGCTTTTAATGGAATTTTGATAACATTCATTTATAAATGTTTGTTGAGCTCACTAGTGTAGGCTTTCTGTGACATTTATCTAACCATGACCTTTAAGTTTAGAAGTGCACTTATCACCTGCAAAATAAATTTGTATCCTAATATACCTTCTTCCAAGCACTTGGTAAGGAATATCTGATGAGACCTAGGTTACCTACAAGGTAAAATTCAGTACACTGGAGCTCAAGCAGGGACAAATGGGATTTGGTAATCTCTTAAAACCGTAATATCTGTTTTTGGGAAACTCTAAAATTTAGATGGAGTATTATCAGAAGTATAAATAAGTATGAGAAAGGAAATACTGACAAAATATTGATAATAAAAATCATAACAAGGCAGCTGAACAAATATCAAAATAATCTGTGTGTGTGCATAGCTGTGTTCTTTGCTAAGGAGAATATGACCTTTTTAAAAGATGGAACTTACATTTTTTAAAGAGAAAAAAATTTTTAATGAAAACTTAGTTCAATAGTCACTATTTGATAGGAAGCTTTACAGATGACTCAGTCCAGTTTTTTAGCACCAGAGAATATAAACAGTAGGTCTGAGGAAGGAGCCTATTCTAATTCACAATCCACTAAGCTGTCCCTTGAACGTAGTAGATTTTTTAAGAAAGGCAAAGAAACTTTTAAAAACATGGTATAAAAGTAACGTATGTTCATTATTTCTACAAAGGAAATAGTACAGAATAATATGAAGTAAAAAAGTGAAAAGCCTCAGCCAGTTTCCCACATCTGTCTCCCCTCAACTCATTTCCCAGATGTATCCAAGCTTAACAGTTTAGAACATATCCTTCCATATATTTTCTTTTTTTTTTTTTTAAAGATTTTATTTATTTGAGAGAGAGAATGAGATAGAGAGAGAGAGCATGAGAAGGGGGAAGGTCAGAGGGAGAAGCAGACTCCCTGCTGAGCAGGGAGCCCGATGCGGGACTCGATCCCGGGACTCCAGGATCATGACCTGAGCCAAAGGCAGGGGCTTCACCAACTGAGCCACCCAGGTGCCCTCCTTCCATATATTTTCTATGTAGACACTGTTAAATGTGCATCTATTTTATTAATTTTTAACACAAATGAAACCAAGTAGTATATACTACTCTCTTGTATGATAGCATCTCATGAACATATTTCTGTATCAATAGAGACAGATGGATAGCATGGTATTTCATTATATAGAGACGTCTTCATTTAATGTATCTTGGCATGCTTGTGCAGGCATATCCACAGGTGAACTCCTAAAAGTGAACTTGTTAGATCAAAGTATAGGCTTAAAACACTTTTGAAGGATATTGCTGAATTGTGCTCCAAAAAGGTGTCAATTTTCATCACCTCCAACGTTGTATTTTTTACTGCAATATATTGGACATATAACGTTGTGTAAATTGAAGGTGTACCTCCAACAGTCTATTAAAAAGTCTCTGTTTCCCCACATCGTTAACAGTATTAGGTA